AGGGGAGACAGGTAGGGCCCTGCAGGACCTGCTGATGACAGTGTGTCAGGCTTCCTGGAAGTGAGCAGCTGGGAACCGGTGAGTCATTGTTTAAACAGCGTGTGTGCATGCATGTATACCCATTTGTTTCTGTTTGTGTGTGCGTGTGTGCACGTTTGTGTTTTTGTCTGTATGTGTGTATCTGTGTGTCTGCTTATGTCCTCGCGTGCACAGTCAAAGCACAGAGCTGGAGCTGAAGCATTTGTTGTGTTTATTCAGGACCACAGGTGAACTTGTTTGGGTTCCCAAGGCTCACTGCGTCATATTTCTGGAAGGAGATCATGTGCCTTTGTCTTTGGGAAAATTCCAGCTAAAGGCCCCTAGCCTTAAGAAGGAAGCCCCTCCCAGGAACAAATTTCAAATGACATCAAGATGCTCAGTTAGCACAGATTGATGATGTCTAGTGAGCTTGTCAGAGCTCGTAAATCTCCCTTTAAAATCTGCATTTCCTCTGTCTCTAATGCCACATCGTTCAAAAGCAAAGGAGCGGCAGGAAAAACAGCCCTGTGGTGAACTCAAAGTTCTACTGGAGGACGCACCAGTACCAACCACACGCTCCCTAAACCTGGACTTCCACTAAATAAAGGCCACTTTGGGGGCTCTTTCCTTAACTTTTCCCCTCTGGCGGAAGGAAGGCGGGCCTGTGAGAGCTGAAGAAGCCCAAGTCAGGACAGAAGAGGCACCCTAACCACGAATCCTCAGGCCTGAGAGCGTCTTTGCCTTCAGACAGGCGTCCAGGAAGCTCTGGATTAGATCCTAGAGGCTGGATCAGGTGTCCCACGTTCAGTTTTCTCTTTGAACCGAGGGTTCCAACCTTTCATCATCACAAAAATTTACATGTGAAAATGTTTACAATGGTCTTATTTATTATAAAGAAAAATAATTGAAACCAAGTAAAACTCCAGCAATAGGGAAATGGATCGGTAATTGGGACAGTTGAAGGCGTCTTACCTGGCCATGGGACGGGATATATGATGTTCTGGGTTTCGGTTTGTTTGGAGGTGTGCAGGCAGAGGTTCCCTGGGCAGGCTGCATATCCTGCTGTTCCTGCCAGTGGCCAGGCCGATGCTGGTACCTGGTGAATGCAGAGTCCGTGTCCTTGCATTGGAAATGCAGCTGGGGCTTGTGACTTGGGGCAATTCTGGACCCCAGAGCCCTGTTGCTCAGCTTCAGTGGGGGTGCTGTGCAGCAGGGGGTAGGGCTCAGAGGGCATGCCCACCCTGGTCCTGTCTGGGTCCTGTCAGTCTTATCTGAGCACTGTGTGCAGGGTGGCCTCACGGAGGCCAGCATGAAGCCAGGGTGCCTGCTGGCGGTCTTGGCCCCTTTCTAAAGGTGACCTGGGCACTCCTCAGCAAGTCCCTGGGGTGTGACTGGCACGAAAGCCACAGGAAAGAAACAGTCCATCTGTCCAGTTATGGCTTCTAGCTAAGCCGCTTGCTTGTTCGTTCACGAGACGTTTATTGAGCAGCTGCTACGTGCTCCATGAATGCAGTCCTCACACTTGCCAGAGTGACAGCCCAGAGAGGGAAGTCACTGAGAATTACACACACTTACGCAGGAGTGCATGCTCCATGACAATGGGGACTCTTGTCTATTTCATCGGCTACTGTGTGTGGGGGCCGGGTGGCAGCTGTGAGATCAGACATGAGGCTGGAGCAGAAGACAGATTTGCAGGGATGTGAGCAAGGAGTGAGCAGACACAGAGCTTCACTGTAAGGAGAAATCCTGGTCTGTTGACTGTGGAGTCCATGCTGATCCCTGGCCAATCGGAACCCTGAGACAGTATGTCTTTCCTGGTGCCTTGTTCAGAATTTGGGGTTGAGTCACCCCATTGAGCATTTGTTCCCCCACTTGTTAATGCTGTGTTTTGTGTTTTACTCTTACTTTTGGGTTTTGTTTTCCTGGAGTGAGTCAGTCATCTGTGGAGTTCTGCACTGGTGGACAGGGTGGTGAAAGAAGAGTGGGCCTTTCCAGCCCCTGGCCAGGCTGCTGTGCATCTGTGGAATGCAGAAGTTCCAGGGTATCCAGGCAGTCTGGGAGGTTGGATGGGGCAGGGCTGCTGCTGTGACCATGTTGTGCCTGGAAGGGGCCCCAGCCTCCTTGGGCTGACCTTGCTTTCACCCAAACTTCTCCTGTTCTTCCACAGGCACCAAGAAATTGTCCTCAGCTCAGGCAAATACGTCACATAGCTGGGAAGTGTGCTTTTCTGTGCTTTACCTTATCCATCCACCCATCCACCCATCAACCCATCCATCTACCTACCCATCCACCCACTTACCCATCTACGCATCCATCCATCCATCCATCCACCCACCTACCCATCCAGTCATCCATTCATCCATCCATCTATCCATCCACCCATCCATCTATCCATCCTTTGTATATTTATTGAGCACCTACTGTGTGCTAGGCACTGTATTAACCCTGAAGAAAACACAAAATCCTAGCTGCACTTCTCAGCCTGGGCTGCAGACTGGGATCATCTGGATCTTCTTTCCTTTTTTTTTTTTTTTTCTTTCTTTTTTGTTTCTGCTCCTTCTCTGAAACCAGCATAGTGCATGGTGAGACTCAAGAGGTGTCCTCAGGGCCCACCCCCAAGTATGTTGACGGTCACTGCTGCTGTGCTGTGCTGTGCTGAGCTGTGCTGAGCCCTTCCTGCACCTTTGCTCCCAGTTCCGTCTCTTTCCATCCAGACTAGGCTCCTTGGTGCTGAGGACTTTGTCCTGCTGGTGCTGAGACTTTGCTTCTAAACTCCATTCTTTCCTGTCATCCCACAGGGCAGAGCGGACTGTGCCTGGCTGCCCACTGGGGTCATGCAGGCATGGCTATCTTTCCTCTGCAGAGTTCTGTGCCTTCCTCCATGGCTGCCCAGCCCTTGCTCCCGCGGTGAGGGAGGGAGAGGAGGTCCTGTTCACAGAACCAGCTGCCCCCGATGGGCATAGACGCTGATTAGGGGGAGTATCTCCTCCTAGAAGTGGTTCAGATAATAAACAGACAGTGATTGTTGCTAGACCTGGTGATGCTCCAGAGAGTAGGTCTCCAAAAGGAAGGAGAACTCTGCCTGGCCCTTGGGTACTGAGTTCATGATGTCGCAAAAAAGAATTTTCAGATGCCTCGAGGTAGACACCAGGAAAGTTTATTAGTAAAGCAAATCAAAGGAAAGAGAAAGAGAGTACACAGCCCAGACACAGGTGTGGGCACATCTGATGACAGGTGCAATGGGTGCTGTAATGTCAGCGTAGTTGAAAGTAGGTTGGGGGTTTGGCTCAAATTCACCTTAGGATAAGTGGTCCCTTCTGTCCTAACCTGGTATATTTAATCATTCTTGTGGTTGCACTCTTTTATCAATTGGGCCCAGAAATTGCAAGGTTGGCCCGCTCGTTAAATTTGGGTCACTATGCATAGATGTTTGAGCATCCCTTTAAACAAGGGGTGCATCTTGCCAGATGCTCCTTCAGGACAGGTGTCCATCCTGGAGATAAGTATGTTCCTTTGTAAACACTTTTTATCCCCAGAGGAATAATTTCCCCAGAGTTCTTCCCAGGACAAGTGTCTTCCTTTAAGATATCACTGCTCAGATCCCAGTGCACACTAATTGGGCAAGTGCGCATGGTCAGATGGAGAGAGCCGCTTTTTTTCCCCCACATTTTTTTCTTGTTACAGCTTATTGAGCAGGTGTAAGTCTTTAAGCAAAGAAAATAGTGCCCGTGTGCTTTTAACCAAGCCATACATAGTGTTAACCATGAATTTCTGGCTGCTGTTTCTCATGCCTCGTTTTCCCTGGTCTATCCTGTCTCATGAGGACATTACAATGTCACCAGTTTGTAACTCTGACGATACAGCAGACCCAGGCAGTGATGGTCAATAGTTGTAAGCGTGGAAAAGAGACAACATCCAAGGGAAGTGTACACCACACTCAGCAAGAGCCTGCGTACGGTCAGATTTCTGTTCTGAGCATCGCAGTAGACAGGCTTCATGGAAATATATGCAGTGACAACACGGGAGGCCACCAGCAAGATCTGGCACGGGACAACCTGCTGTATTCCACACCTACCTGCAAAGGAAGAGAGGATGTGTGTGTCTACATCAAGGCCTGCAGCTGACAGGCTGTCTGGGATTTGCTTTGCCCTGTTGGGAGCTTTTGGGGTATGGGTGACCCAAGACTGGCCAAAGCTGGTTATTGTGGGACTGGGGGCTGGGCACATGGCCCTGGCTCTTTGCTTGGAGTGTGTCTGAATATTTCTATAATTAACAAATGTGAGGAACCTGTATGCATCTATTTTGACCACAGAGCTGTGTTTTCTCCAGGGTCCTGTGCTGAGCAATGAAGCATTAGAGACAGCAGGAAGGATTAAAATGTGCAGAAATAACATTTTTAAGGGAGACTTAAAATTTTTACCTTTTTTTTTGAGACAAACTATGTAGCCCAGGCTGGCTTGAAACTCAAGATCTTCCTGCCTCAGTCTTCTGAGGGCTGGGATTATAGACGTGAACGACCACACCTCACCCAGCCCTGGGGAGAATTTTTGGAAACATCAGCTTTAATCCACGAACAGCTAAGAGACGTCTGCATCCCTTTTACCCCTCTTTTTAGATACTTTTTTGGAATAAGCAATAGATTTGTAGAAACCAAGAAGTAAAGGACAAGGAGACCAGCCAGTGTGGTAGGGGCGGGTCATTACTAGATACATTGTATGTAATTGTGTCATTGCTCTTTCTCAGGCAATGGGCTTTCCACACATAGCTCCTTTTGCTACTGTCTTGCTCGCCCCAGCTTGCAGATGGGGAGGAGGAGGCTGGGGTACGAGAGTGGAGCAGGTGCCGACCTGCCCTGGCTTGCAGTTCTTTTCAAGCTGGCTGTCTCCACCAGGTGGTGGGGGTACGTGGGTGGGTAGCCATCCTGAGATGACTTAGCCTCAGATATTCAACCTGCCTCCGTCCACTGTGGTTCTTTGCAGGGCATGGCACAAGCAGGCAGTCCCTTCCAGCCCAGGCCTGTGCCTGGCCAGCCCTCCGTGTCCAAGCTGGTTCTCCTGGGAAGTGGCTCTGTGGGCAAGTCCAGCTTGGCCCTCCGGTATGTGAAGCACGACTTCAAGAGTGTTGTGCCAACTGTGGGATGTAAGTGACGAGGTGGCTGGCTCAGAATCCCCAGCAGTCCTGGAACTTCGGGCTGCATGTGCCCCACGTGCAGGGAGTGGGTGAGCTCCATCAGGGTCAGGCAGGTTCCAGAGGACACGCAAACACCCTTTGCCCCGGGCAGGGTTTCACCTAACTGAAGTTTGCAAGGATGGAGAGTCAGGATTGGGGCTGGGGCCTGGGCACCTCGGGGCAGTGTTACAGCCTTTGCAGGATATAACTGTAATTATTATACCATAATTATTACATTACAAATGTAAATGAGTATTGCGTATGACTTATGTTATCATGTGGTCACTAAATTATATTATTAAATTAAATTATATAATTATTCCACAACTGCAGATTGAAAATATTTGAAAAAAATTGCATCTATACTGAGCAGGTACAGAAGTTTTTCTTGTCATTATTCCTGAAACAACTCAGTATAACAGTTACTTATATATCACTCATGTCGTGTTAGCTATGAGTTTTTACCCATCATGTAGAGATGATTTAAAGTGTGCCGGTTGTTAAACATAAACATTCATTTTGCCATGCTGTCTAAGGGACTTGAATGTCTGTGGATTTTGGTATTGGTGGAGGTCAAGGAACCAGTCCCCTGAGGTACCAAGGGATGACTGTATTACTTGAATATTATTATAAAAGTGAATGTTCTCACTTCTCAGGTAAGAAAGTGTAGTAATGCAATCATTCCTTTAGCTTTCATGGTTTCTGGACAATGCTCTGTGCTTACTCTATGTGCCACCTCCATTTCTTTGGTCATGTGCCTCCGGCTTCTATAAAGAAAACTGGTTGCTCAGGGAACTGGTCCCTCTGCCCTCCCTTGCTGTCCTAGCTGCCCACCTTCCCTTCAAGGGGCCCTGGTGGGGGTGAGGGTGAGACAGCAGCAGAACAGAGGTGGGTGGAGGTGTCTCCATAGATGACTGGAGTTTGTCACCTTGCATGCTGCCCTCTTTCAGCAGGACAAGGGTGGGATAAAGGCTGGAGTGTCCCAGGCTGTGCCTCTTGTGGGCAGGGCCAACTCCAGGATCACATGACTTTTGGGAGCTTGATATGAAGCCAGGCTCCCCTCCCACCTCCCAGAGGTTGGTTGAGCCAGAAGGTGTGTGGGGTGGGCAGGGCTCCAGGACAGGTCACTGTCATCCACCTAGAGAAAGCAAGCACAGGACTGGAGATGTGACAAACCCAAGTCCCTAAAGGTAAGAAATCCAATAGGCCTCCCAGGCCAGGGCCAGAGACACATCCCAGTGAGCAGGGTCTCCCAGGTTCAGCCTCCAGGGGTTACCAGCACCTCTTAACTCAGCCCACCCCAGCCATGGGCTTCTGGTCCTGCTGCAAAAGAGGCCCTGGCCCGGAAGGTTGTAACCCCAGGAAGAAGTCAGCTGGTTTGTACCACTCAGGGCTCCCAGGGACCACCCTCCCCATGCATTCCACTGGCCACTGTGAGTGAAATTCTGACCTACTGCCTGTGCTGTAGACACTGTCTCAGTGATGCCTATGGGAGAATGGTGACGCTAGCATGCATTTATGTATGCCAAGAACAACCCAAGGCAGGTTGGGTTTTATACGTTAGGGGAAGGTGACAAACCATATAGAGCGCATTCCACCAACACACTCCCTCCAAACTAAGAACTAAGCTGACATCCTGAAGCCCCTGCATATAAGTTTCCATTTTGTGTTCCTTTCAACTTGCAATCAGGTTATAATTTTTACAAAAGATGCATGTTCCAGAGAGGGCTCAGATGAGTGAATTCTGTTCCTTATTTAAATTAAAAGCTAACAGAGCAAAAATACTTTTATTATGTTAAAATTTAGTACAGTACATTTTAATTTGGAGCAATGAAATAAAAGTCAGAGAAAGAAACCTTGTCTCCCACCACCCCCATTAATTCTTACGTTACCCAGTACCACTGGGGTTTTCTAAGCTCTCCAAGTGGAAGGGCCCTCCAGCTGCCAGAAGCCCAGGGAAGGAGAAGGAGCTCTGACATATCAGACCTGGTGCTTCGTGTCTTGTGTCATGGGACTTCACTGCCACTCTGGGTAGAGGACACTGCTATTTCCTCTTAAAGAAGAGGAAACTGAGATTTGGGATTTAAGTGAATCGCCCAGGTCCATGCAGCTAGTGGGGCTACATCCAAGGTCCACACGGCCTTCATCCGCACGTGGAGCACCAGACAGTCGCCCATGTGAGCTGGGAGCCACTGGCCCCTGCTGTCCAGACAAAGACTGATGCTTTGTTTGATGAGTGAGTTGGTCTGACCTCAACTTCACAGACCTGCAGGAAAATGCAGGATGTGCACACAGCTTGTGGTAGCTTCTGTCAAGGAGCCACCCCAACTCTATTCTCGAGGTTCAGGATTGATCTTACCATCCCCTACTGAGAGTCTCTGTCCAGCTCTGTCCCCGTGCTCTCTCTGTAATGGGTGGAACTGTGCCTCCCAAGTCGTAACACCTGTAACCTATGAATGTGATTTTATTTGTAGGTAGGGTCTTTGCAGATGGCATGATTTAAAGCTGTTGACATCGCTCTGGACTTAGGATGGTCCCTAAATCCAAGGACAGGTGTCCTTATATGTAGAAGAGAAAACAGACCCAGAAGGTGTCCTTATATGTAGAAGAGAAAACAGACCCAGAGGGGAAGGCCAGGTAGAGACAGGCAGAGGTTGGGTGCTGTGTCCTCAAGCCAAGGAATGCCAGGGGTTGCTGGGGCCCCCAGGAACTGGGGAGAGGCAGGGAGGGGATCTCCCCAGAACCTCCACAAGGACCAACCTTGCCCATGCCTGATTTTGCTCCTATGTCCTCCAGAATGGAAAGAATCAACTGACCTTGTTTAAGTCACCCAGTTTGTAGTCATTTGTTACAGCAGCCCTAGGATGTTTGTGACTGTCCTTGGAGAGGAAATTTTAATTTTGAACTCATTGCTCTGTCTGTCAAGGCCTCCCCAGCAGGCTTTAAACCCGCCCTGGGTCTGGGTGGGACATGGCTACAGTGGAGTCTGTTGGTCTGTGCTGATCCCGTCAAACCCTGGGCACCTTGACCCCTCCTGTCCCTTCTCCTCCAGCTCCACCTACAAGTCACATACCAGGGCACAAAACATTTTCTGCTATTAAGTAACTTTTATTTCCCTTGTTGGTTTTAAAATAACTTTTCTTTTGGCAGTACTGGGGTTTGAACTCAGGACCTTATGCTTGTTAGGCAGGCTCTCTACCACTCAAGCCACACCCCCAGTCCTTTAGGTAGGGTCTCAAGATTTAGATTGTGGTTCTCCTATGTACAGGCTCCTGGACTCTCCTATAGCTGGAATGACAGACATGTGCACCATGCCTGGCTTGTTGATTGAGATGGGGTCTTACTAACTTTTTACCCCAGTTGGCTTCGAACCTCTATCCTTCTGATCTCCACTTCCTGAGAGCTGGGATTACAGACATGAGCTACTGCACCCTGCTATTAAATAACTACTTTTCTGGCTTGCTGAGCACAAGGGCTTCTATTGTCCGTGCTGAGCGGTGGATTGACACCTCATCCCCTGTTTCAGGTGCATTCTTCACAAAGGTGGTGGATTTGGGTGCTTCTTCCCTGAAGCTTGAGATCTGGGACACAGCTGGCCAGGAGAAGTACCACAGCGTCTGCCACCTGTACTTCAGGGGTGCAAATGCAGCACTTTTGGTCTATGACATCACCCAGAAGGTAGGGCCCACCTCAAGAGTGTTCCCAGCAAGTTTTCCTGGCAGGCATTTGTGCTCAGGTGCAGTGCTGCTGCCTTCCAAAGGATAAATGGACCAGGCCAGATCCCTAACTCACAGCATGATCACAGCAGCACAGAGAGGCCAGCAAGTGAGCGGGTCACCTCCACCAGGAAGCCCTTCCACAGCCCCTTCCCCTCCACAGTTGGGTTCTGCTTCTGCAAGATCCCATGGTCGTCCTGCACAGAGCACTGCCCTTGGCCCTCACTTGTGCTGGAGCGCTGCTGAGACGGTGAGGGGCTGTTACTGTCCAGACCCCCTGCCCAGGCCACACTGGGTCTATCACAATGATTGGGGATGCTGAACACAAAAGCAGAAGTGGGGATGACAAGGGACTCCAGGACTGGGCTTCTATTGGGGATGGGCTCCAGCCAGGCCTAGGGGCAGGGTGGTCCTCCTGCCCCAGGCTCTCTAGGGCTGGTAGGTAAGCAGGGAAGAACTGTGCTGGGCAGGGTGGGGAAGGAGAGAAGGCAGGAGAGGCGGGGGAGGGGTCCTCGGTAAGGCTTGCTGTGGGGGAGGGGTGGTAGCTATAGAGGGACTGTGGTGGATCCAGGGGCCTCCTCAAGTAGTCTATGGGATACTGAAGTTAGGAGCAGGGTTTGGGGTTCATTCCCCTAAACGCTCTCGAGGGCACACAATGCCCCGTGACCTCTATGCCCTGGGCCCTGCAGTTTGCTGTCTGGCTGCAAGACCATGCATAGTGGGATCAGGGCCCCTGCCCTCCTCAGAAGGACAGAACACCCCTGCAGGGCCGGCATGGCCATTGCATCCTGGGACATTTTCTACAAAGTGTCTGTCCGTGACACCTGCTGTCTTTCCGACGCTGTGGTGCAGACCACGCCTGAGCTGTGCTTAGCGCTGTGCTTTTCTTTTGTAGGATTCCTTCCACAAGGCCCAGCAGTGGCTGGCGGAGCTGGAGAAGGAGCACCCCGTGGGAGAGGTGGTGGTGATGCTAGTGGGCAACAAGACTGACCTCGGGGAGCAGCGGGAGGTGACGCTCCAGGTACCGCGCAGGACCCAGCAGGAGGGAGCCCCACCTTGGCAGCCCCTGGGGTTGTGGAGGCCTTGTGCACGTTCACATATGCACACCCATGCCCACACCCTCGGGCACTCACAGCACACAGCACACACTCACACTTGCACACGCAGCCACACTTTGACTTGGGTGCGTGCACACAAGCAGGCACAGTTCCACTCATTCATACATAGCTGCACGCACACACACTCTTTCTTGCACCCACACAGTCTTACACCCACACTCCACCCACACTCCTGCCCTCAGCACACAGTGTGTGCTCACACTTGCACGTACTCCCTCACAGTGACACACACACACACTCCCCACACTCAAATCCCCACATTCACGAGCACACTCTCATCCAAGAATTCTGCTTTCCTCAAGGGCTCAGGTTTTCCTGTGTCCCCCAGGCAACTCCCGAGAGTGACTGCTGGCACCCCATGTGGGGCCTAGAGCCCTCGCTGCTGGCCTCCAGGGGCCCTGACCTGGTCCCTTGGTCACCTGGGCTTATAAGGAAAACATAACCTTTCCTAGCCCTACCTCCTTTTTGGGTAACGTGGTTTCAGATCTTTTCTCTGTGTTCAGTAAATTATTGGAGGATTCGGTGAGTAAAAGCAAACATCTTTGCTGGGGACTGAGAATGGCTCATCTGTGAAACGACAAATACTGCAGAGACGCGCAGAGGGCTGCGGGGCCAGATAGGGAGCAGGGGTCACGCTGAGAAGGTGCCTGGGCTCAAGAAGCAGAGCCGCTGACATGGTATTGGGCTTGGGGGCTTTAGTCTGTGTGTCCCCTGGAGAAGGGGGTCAGTGCGTGATGGGGTTGCAGAGAGAGCACGTGGTGAGCTGGGAGAGCAGAACACAGGCAAGGGAGACACAGAGGCTGTCGGCTCTGCTTGGTGCAGTTCATCGGGAGCATCTGTTGTCTCAGTCCTGGGCTGTGACAGGCTGGCCTGCGGCAAGGAGGACTCTGTGGTGCCTCTCATGGGAGTGGCCACGCTGGGGCTCTCACTGTGCCTGTGGACCCCCAGACCTGAGCCAGTACCCTGTCTCTCCTCCATTCTGAGGTCCCCACTGAGCAGGGTCCAGGTCCTGGAGGGAGGTCAGGGCAAACCGCAGGTGGTGCCTGCGAAGCAAATGCAGAGTTCTTCCATCTTCCCCAAATGTAACAGCTCCTACAGAACCTCAGGACAGGGAGGGAAGGCAGGTCAGTCACCTGGTACAGCACTGTTAGGACACTATGGATCTTCCTAAAGCTTACAAACTGTACCACTTTTCCTCGTAATGTCCTTTCGCGGCAGGAAAATCTGCTCCCAGATCTGGCCTCTGGGGTTCCCTGAAACTGCCTCTGTGTCCTCTCCACCTGCCCCATTATTCTGTCAGCTCTTCTGAACTTCCTGGCTCATCTCGCTCTTTCCTTATCCAAGCTCTGTAATCAGCCATTTCCCCAAGAAGCCCTGATTCCTGTTAATGATTTAGAAACCAACACCCAGACATTGGGTGTGCTGCAGGAGTGAGACGGTCAAGAACCTCACCCTGAAGACCCCCAGGAGACAAACTGACTAGGCGGAGGGCGTGCCTTCAAAGAGAAAAGACCTGTTTCTTGGGAGGTGATGGACCAGGATGGGATGGAGATATTAGGGAATTTGGAGGAGGGCAGAGGGACCACAGGAAGGTGGCACCCAAGCTGGAGTCCTCACTGCAAATGTGGCTGGTGAAGAAAGTAGGCTCGGCCTATGGAGCTGTGCCCCCTGGAGAGCTGCCAAGGTGGACACCAAAACATAGGAGCTGAGGTTACAGTGTGGGGGCCTCCAAGGCAGGTTGGGGACTGAAAAAAGAGGGAAGATCTGGAGACTCCGTTTGGGGACCTGGCTGAAAAGCCACACCAGAAAGAGTGCAGGACCTGCCCACTGCCCACCGCTGATGTCACAGCGTTATAAGCAGGAGCTGTGTCTGCATCCAGGGCTGTCAGCTGCCATCATGGAGCGTGGCTGGGGTCCATCCGGACCCTCTGGTGGCTAGCAGGAGGTACTCTGCACTGGGACACCCGGGAAGCATGGGGGAGGCCCTCGCAGGAGGCCCCCGGCTTCTGGTGCGTCATGCCTGTCATCACTGTTGCCTTCCTAATGACATATGGTAGACCTAGGTCTCCCAGCCTAACTAGCTGTGGAAAAACGAGGGCTTCTCAGAGGCGGCCCTTCCCTGCTCCTGTCTTCTTCATTGTTTGTGTTGGTGTCTTTGCTCCTGTTGTGTGGTGTCTCTGCCACACAGCTGTGCTGGAAGGAGCCTGGATAGGAAGCCACTTTCTGCTGGGATCTGGTAAGCCTCTTCCAGTGAGTGCCCTGTTCCCTGCCCTGTCCCTCCCCCCTGGGCCAGGGCTCCTTCAAGGCTCTAAGAGCCAGAACTGAGGCTAGAAGAACCGTGGAGAGGTCAGGCCGACCAAAGCTGTAGCTGTTTCTTGTGTCTTGACATCAAAGGTCAGCTAGGGGTCCCTGGGTAACTTTCATAAATGACACTGGATTTTTCCCTCAGGAAGGGAAGGAATTTGCAGAGAGTAAAAATTTGCTGTTCATGGAAACCTCAGCCAAATTGAACGACCAGGTGTCTGAGGTCTTCAGCACTGTGGGTGAGTGACAGCCATGTACTGGATGATGAGGGTGGGGGCTTGCCACTCGACCTGCCTCAGTGGGTCTTTTTGGGTATCCTGGGACCCTACTGACTGGCCCTGGGTGCTGGGAGGTGAGTGGGAGAGACATTGATTTGTGATTCTGGGTAACTATCAGGAACTCCTTCCCCAGCCCACCCACTTCTGTCTTTCACAGCCCAGGAGCTACTGCGGAGAGAGAAAGTCAGGAAGAGCCACACCCCGGGGAACGAAGCCGTGGACCTGAATGAGGGGCCTGCCAGGCAGGCCAGGTGCTGTGCCCACTAGAAGCAGCTATCCAGGAGAGACGTGGGGAGGATACCTCTGGCCTGGGTGGGCCTCGGCAGGCAGGCCCCCAGCCTGGGCTGTGGCCTCAGGGTGAGCCACACTGGGCTCTCTCCATAGAGATTTATTGGAGATGCTGGATTGTGTCCAAACCATGGAGGTGTTCAGAAGTTGGCAGCCTTTGTAATAACCACTTCCTAAAGCCTGTGGGAGTACTTGGGGAGGACCAGGAGCCAAATGGCTCTCAGAAGACCATCGCCCCCATCTTGCCAGGCACTATCTGATTCCTGGATGTTCTGGTCCAGATGTGCCTGATCCACCTGGGCTGCTCTGTCAGCTGTCTCTGCACCAACACAGGAATTAAATGAGGCACAGTGGGAGCAAGAACAGGAAAAATTCTTCCATTACTGTGCTTGGTAGACAGTGGGTTGAGTGGGGTCTGGCCTAGAGGCTGGGCCTACCTGATTCTGTGAGGTGGTAGAAGAGGGAGCAAACTCTGATGGGGGTGGCAATGCCAGGAGGAAATGAAATGATGGGTACCAGTTGGTTGGGCCTCAGTGAAGTTGCCCTGAGCAGGCAGACTCTGACAGGACAGCCAGGGGTGGGGCATCAGTGCCCCCTCCCATGGTGGACGGATGTAGCCCCGTTTCTGTCCAATGAGTTTGAAGACTCAGACTTCCACCCTGAGATGTAAGCTGAGCCTTCTACCTGTCTTTTCTCTAAAAATTAAACCACTTTTGACAATCTGCCTTTATGTCAACTTTGCAAGTTGGTGGTGGCACCCAGGTGAACTGATCTGGAGGTCTAGCAGGAATGGTGTTAATGAAATGGAGGGTTCCATGGGCAATGGGCCCATGATGAAGGTGGGCACAGGCCATTGCTCTGGACACAACATTTCTCAGAACATTCCCAGTGTGACTGCTTGTCTTTACAGAGAAGCCAAAGTCCCTGTTCTGGGATGTAATCCCCAGACAACATTTTTCTTTAGCATCCTGGTGCAGCAAGGTGGAGGTTTTTCAAATGTGGCCATTTTGCAGGGTGATGTTGGTTTTTATCCTTGCCCCTGGAGACCATGATAAACAGCTATGACTCTAAATAATGAAACACTATTGCTGGGCATTGTGGTGCATGCCTGTAATACCAGCACTTGGGGAGGCTAAGACAGGAGGATTGACAGTAGAGGCTAACCTGGGCTGTATAGCAAGATCCTATCTTTAAAACAAAAAAAAAAAAGGAAAGAAAAAAAGACACTGTTATTCAACCAAGGTGTCCTTTCTGTATCAAGTGTAAAGACCAAAGGAAGGAGCCATGTGCAGTTCCCTCCTCATGTGGTTCTAACTTCCCATCCCAGAGGGGATCTGGCCAGATGGACCTTCAGCTGCACCTCCGGGTGCTCTCCAGGCAAAGCCTTACCCCGGCCACCTGACCTTGGTCTTAAGGTGGAGCTGAGTCCCAGGGGAGCTCTCGCTGGGGCCTGAGGAGAGGACCAGAGGCCAGACATTACCTGGGACGCTGCTTTGGTGAGGGTGCTCAGGACGGCTGTGTCCTGGTCAAAGTTCCCTGTCCCTCCTCGCATCCCTCAGGCCAGTCAGCATTCTAGTCACACCTTGTGCGGAGTTCCTCTCTGAGGGGCCGGATTGGCATTGTTAGTTACCCTGATGGAGGGAGGCACCTGGGTCCACTGAGCCCCTGGCAGATCCAGTTTCTGTTTTGGGTGGCTGGAAAGAGCCCCAACTTTCCCGGTGCTGGAGTGGTCCTGATGTGACCTAACGGACACGTGTCCTGTGATCTTACTGCATAAATGCAGACCCCACAAGCCTCCCTCGTCATGATCCGTGAGAAGAGCCAAGGATAAAGAGAGCAGTGATGTCCGAGGGGGCCTGTTTGCTTGAGTTCGCCAACAGTTTTTTCCCTTAGACAACTTCCTAGTGAAACCTGACAAATTACGGCTGAGCTTCTGACAGCTTCGGAAAGTTGAGTAGTTGTCACGTGGTCATTCCCTCACAGGTGAGGCGTGTGTTCCTGGCATTCCAGGCTGTGTCCTCACGCCCCTTGTCACATCAGCCTACCAGGAGCAGCACAGGGACCCCCTGGACAGACCAGCTAGGAGGCTTGGGAGGCGGAGGTTACCCGTGACCACTAGATGGCACCCCAGAACAGCTTAAGAATCCCTCGCCCCTCCCTGGCCACAGCTGGAGGTCCTGGGTCCTGAGAGCTCAGCTGCTGCGCTGACAGCAGCTGGTCCAGTGAGGGAATGGAAGTTGGAAAATAACGGGAAGCTTGTAGGACACCAGTATCTGATTGTTGTCTCCCCTATCTCGTGAGATGAGTGTTGTTAGAGTTTATGTAAACGCATCCCTTCTCATTCCCACCAGGAATCTTTTCATGGTCTCCCTAGAACCGGATGGCTCTGGTGCCATCCATCTCCCTCTTCTCCTGCCCCACCGGGCAGGTAGGGCCCAGTGCTGTCCTGAAATCACCTGGGAGAGCATCCAGAAGCCCTACACCTGCATTCCACCCCAGGCTCTGGCTAAGTCAGTCTACACTCAGATTTTGAAATCCTCCCAGGGAACTTAGAATGTAGCAAAGGTGGAGAGCCTCTGAGGGCAGGGGCTATCGGTCTTCTGAGGGACTCCAGTGCCAGTGCATTTGGCACACTCCAGTGCCCAGCAAGTATGTATCTCAACAAGTGGATAGAAGCCATTGGTTTTTCCCAAGGTCCTGAAGGACCGGCAGGCTTCCCTGAACACAGCCTCCATAACCGCTGTCAGGTGTGGACATCAGGCTTGCTTCCTGCAGATGTTCTGCCCTCCTCATCCTCAAATGTGGGATGCTGGGGTGGGGCAGGAAGAGAAGGCCCCATCTCTGTGGGCACATGGAGGGTGACAGACGAGAGCTGGCAGATGGTCCTGGCATAGATTCTTCTGGATGAACAGGTCCAAGATCTGGGGGAGGCCAGTCTGAGCAGCCTGGGTCTGGCTGCAGCCTGGGAATCTGGGTTTGGACCTGGGTCTCCTCCTGAGCTGCTGGGAGTGTGTGAAGGGTCAGGGGCAAGAGATGCAGAGAGGGACGTAAGAAACTCCTGCCATCCAGGTAACCGAGCCTCTTCTGTGTGTTCTCTTGCCCCTTAATCCTGTTCTCACCACACTCTGCTGGATGGATCCACTGTCCCCAGGGGGGCTGATTCGAACACTTACTTCCTCCTGGACTGGGGGTGTGGGGGGGCTTGAAGTCCTGTGGCCAGGGTGGGCTGCTGCCAGCAGGGCCCACGCCCAGGCTCATATGGGCACCGAGCTTTGGGCTGTGGTGGGCTGTGGGGAGGGGCTTACATTCAACTCTCTCTCTCTGTCCCCCGCCGTGTAGCAGTGCCCTGAAAAGATGGGGCCAGAGTAAAATTACTCTGAAAAATAAAATCTTTTCAGAAAAGGACTGAGGCTGAGAGAGAGGCAGGGTCCAGGCTGAGAGGCTGTGCTGCCCTCTTCTGGGACTGGTGTCCTGCACAGTGTGGTGTGCCACCTGTCCTTATAAGCCTTGTGCAGCGTGCAGCCTAGGCAACTATTTCAGGGCAGCTTGGGTTGGGGCTGTGGGCTGCAGGTGCCAAGGACAGGGCCCTACTCAAGGCTGGGTGCCTATGGGACAGTCACAGAGCCTCTGCTTTCCAAAGAGGCTGCTGGGCTCTGAGTTTGCTGCCCTGCCAGCCTCCCAGGAAGGAAAACACCTTCTGGTTTGTCACCACAGAGTCACAGATGTGCAATAAACGAGGCCTTTTATTAGGGTCGAAGGGAAAGTAGCCCAAGGTGCTGGGGGGAGGAGTATGGAGAAGAGTCACTGTCTTCATGAGCTGAGCTGTCATTCATCCTGTGGGGACCCAGCACAGCCCTCCAGGGAAAGGCAGGTCAGCCGGCACCACAGGCCAGGTTTTGGGACATCCTGCAGAGCTGCCCTCCTCCGGCCGAAGCGACCCACAGGTCGGATCCTGCGTCCCGTGTACCAAGCAGGATTGATGTCAGGGGCTGGACAGGAAAGAGCCAGAACAGCACATGGGGTACCTGTCCCAGGAGATGTGCCAGGTGCTTCTGGAGGTGGCAGGGCCAGGCACACAGGCTTAGCACCCTGCCCCCTTGGGCTCCTCAGCTGACCGCTACCAGGTTATTAAGCCATGTGACACCACCCGGGGAAGGGGCACTGGCCGAGCCATTTCTGGATAGCGGTGTGGCTTGAGAAACAAGGATTCAGAAGTATACCAGGATTCAACATCCCATTCCTTCCCAGGTTCTAAAGGACCAGTCCCAGCTGGGAAAGGGTCAGGGCCATTCTGGGAGAGTCCTGTTCAATGTGTCCTTTCCAGCAAGAGGTTAGCTCTGAGAGCCGGGGCATGTGGCCAGGTCAGTGGCCTGGCTAGGAGGTGGTCAGATCCCGCCCAGGTGCCAAAAGCCCAGTGTACCTGGGGTTGAGGGTGGGGCAGGTACTCACTGCGGACCTCCATGGAGTGCTGGCGGGCTCGGTTTGTCACACCGGGAAGGACAAGGCCCAGCAACAGCAGGCACAGGAGCCAGGCCCTCAGAGGCTCCATTCCCAGACCTTCCTTAAGGTAGAAACCCTGCACAGCCTGGGGACAGGGACAGGAAAAGTTACACACGAGCAAGGGTGTGCGTGCACAAAGTTGGGGACCTTAGGTCATTGGTGCCTCAGAGGTGTGTGTGTGTGTGAGTGAATGTGCACACGTGTGGGTGAGTGCTAGTACCCGGTGCGTGTGCATGTGTACGTGTGCATATGTGAGAGTGTGTCCAGGCATTGCATGCGGCTGCAGTGCCCCATGCTGTCCTCTTGTCTGTGCTAAACCTGGCCCTCCACACATTCCTTGCCTTTTTGGGGCCCCTCTAAGCAAGGGCATGGATGCCCTGTCATCAGAAAGGCCCAGGAGGGAGCAATGTCTTAGAATAGCCACTGCTCTGTCTGTCCATCTGTGTTTGGAATGAAGAGATGCATTCCCTGGCCTTAGTGGGGAGGCCAGGGTCAGTAGGTCTGAGGGGAGCCACAGAGGCATGGCGGGGGTGATTTCTCCAACCTCAGACATGGCCGGGGTGGGTGATGAAGGAGCTCAGCCTGGATCCAAGCTCAGAGGCTGGAACCTCAGAGCACAGTCCTTTCCCCCACTTGACATGGGGATCCAGCCTGCCACCCTGCCTGGCTAGAGGACATCAGCTGACAGACAGCCAGACATTGCAGGACCCTCATCATCCTCCACCCTTACTGAGCGTGCTTACCCTGTCTGTGACCTCAGAGCCAATCTGCTGAGGCCTCTCTTCATGTGGTATCACCCCCTACAGGTGACAGAAACGGGGGCGGCTGTGGACAAGAGCAGGTGCTCAGGAAAACCCATGGCCCTGCTGGAGGAGAGGTGCTGACCGCCTACATGGTGTCCAGTGGCAGACCCCTTCCCCCTGCTCCCACCCGCAGCATTTCAGCCCTGAATACTTCAGAAGAGGACCTTTCAGTCGATCTTGACTTTCTAGTCTCTTCCTAAGAGAGGCTAGAGGAAGAGCTGTCCATCAGAGCTGTTTAAACAGTCTTACTGGGGTGTCCCACATGGCACAGGGGAGTCCCCACCTAGAAGAAAGGGCAGTGACAACTGAAGAATAATAAAGACATGCATCCACACAGCTGGCCCCTTTGCTTGCCCTCCCTGGATGGGACCTAGGCTAGGTCAAGGTCATCCTAGAATGTTAGCAATGCTTGATCCCCAGGGACCAGCTTCCTGGAGAGGTAGAGACAGAGACATGCTATCTGGCCAGTGGGGTTTCCTGGCTCTGCTTCAGAGTGGATCACCCTTGTCTCCACCATGGACAAAGCTTGACCCCATGAGGGCAGGTGGCCCTGGATGACAGACCTCAGAGTAGCTGTCATTGCTTGTCTCACTCAGCACCAGCACTGGCTGCTGGGAGAGCAGGCAGGTCTCAGGTAAACCCAGCCCAAGCCAGACTAAGGAGAGATTTCAGAGAGGAACCCGGCAGCAGCTCCTGTCCCTCTAACGCCCCGGCACTACTCACCAATCTTCCTTGCGTGAGTCAGAGGGCTGCCAGGCGGGTGGTGCCGTGAGGCCCTGGTGGGAACCTGCTCACCTTTTATAATCCCAGGGGGGCAGTGGACACTCCCAGATGCTGCCTATCGCCTACCATCCCCAGTTGCCTCCCTCACTGGGCGGCACCAGGAGAGAGAGGCGTTGGCCTTTTTTCTTTCCCTTTCCTTTTTTTTTTTTGTTGTTGTTAAACTCTCATCAGAGATGTGATTTGTTCCTTCCTGGATTATATAATTTCATTTGGACCAAGTGGTTTTAAAGCACATTAACTGCCTCTCTTCACCCTCGCCTTTGGGCAGAGTCGAGAGTAGAGAGTCCACCACCCTCTCGGCTCCAGCACTGTGTGACTGCTAAATCAGAAGACACCCGCACACCCATCCTTTCCACCTTTCTTGCCCTTCTCAAAACTCTGGCTGTCCACGCTGAACTCAGTTCCTCCATGGCTCTGCCTTCCTTCTCAGTCCTTGCCCGTTCACCCACGTGACTGTTCCCAGTTGCAGTGCTCTATCTCCATCCTGATCCTGTATCTTAAAAATATGTATCCTTGGCTTTTACGGAGAGCTCATAACTAATGTCTAACACACAACAGTTATTATTAGATAACAAACAGGTCTATTTTTATTATTAAAAGCAAGTTTGTTTTTTATTATGGAAGCAATTCATATATGTTGGGAAAAATTAGTGTATGCAAAAATAGAAGAAAAAGCATTGATAGTGTCAAAGAAGCCAGCCACTTTTCACATTTGATGCTTTTCCTTCTGGGGAGGTCTCCATGGGCTTTCCCACCAGCTTTATCCTGTTTACACATGTGAGTCTCATCCTTTCACTACTACATCATCCTTGAGTTGTTAAAAATCTGCATATGTGTGACATTTTAAATAACTACAATATTCTTTTTTTTTTGGCAGTACTACAGTTCAAACTCAGGGCCTCATGCTTGCTAGGCAGGTGCTCTAACACTTGATTCATTCCACCAGCCGTTTTTTGTGCTGGGTTTTTCAAGATAAGGTCTGGAGAACTATTTGCCCAGGCTGGCTTCGAACCTCCATCCTCCTGATCTCTGCCTCCTGAGTAGCTAGGATTACACGAGTGAGCCACCAGTGGTCAGCTTAAATAACTTGGACCTGAGAACCTAAATCACTCATACTGGGAATAACTACAGCGCGTACTAAAGGCCAGTTAAGTACAATTGAATTCCATCTTCTTAAGGGAACTCTGCTGAAGAGACAGCAGGTTGCTTCCCTTGGGCTCATGCAGGTGGCCGGCTGGTGTCATTTCCTGGTCCCACCAGACTTCTAGGAACAGTTTCAGAGCAGCACTTGGCCCTTCTTGAGGAATGGCTGCTTATGAGAAGAGAAGGGCTCCCTGGGAGGTCTGGTGTGGGGTGGGGAGGGGTGAGGAACTCACCTAATGCCTGGCTCCATCTGGGGTGAATTCCATCAGAATTCATAGTTCAGGAGGCAGCGATGAAGGAAAGCCCCCAGTGAGAACTGCCATCATGGAGGGTGATCCTGTCTTGGTGGTGGGTCTTCCAGGTCTTCCAGTGGTTCTCATGGATGTGTTCAGTCCCAGAGCTGCCTGGGACAATGGAAGCTGAGATCTGGGGAGGTAAGTCCTGACCATCACGTGAGAGTGTGGGTGTTGCGTGTGTGTACACCTGTGTTTGTGCACGTGAATGTATGTATGTGTGTACTGTGTGTGTGTATACAGATTCCTCCTTTCAGCAAGGTGGCTCTGTCACAGTGTGGTGTAGGCAGCTTGTCATTTGGAGGGCTCATTGAGGTGTGGCAGCAGGTGGGGTGAGAGGTGGCACAGAGATCTTGGCCTCTCTCCAGCCCCTTTCTGCAACCTCAAACTTGATGCCACCCATCAGAGGACTTAATTACTGCGAGGCACTTTGGATGGCTTTTGGAGGGCAGGTGACAAAAAGCCCAGGTGAAGTGTGGTGAAGGCTGTTCTCACAGTAACCCTAGCCCGGGCCTGTCAGGCTGCTCCTGGATTCAGGGTTCTTTGAGAAGTGGATCCCATGCAGAGTTTGCCACAAATGGTGATGAGGAAGCTCTTCCCATGGCTCTTTAATGGGGTCATGGGTCTCAGGGTGGGAGATCCAAGTGCTCTTGGTCCAGCTGTGCTTGGCCAGGATCTCTCCCAGGACTTTATGTGGCCTCTTGAGTTGCAGTGCATGTGAACTTGAACTTGTGTATGAGGGTTTGCTTCCTGCGGAAAGTATAACCCCCATGCCTGAGACCATGGGCACCTGGGAATAAAAACACCAGCCGCCATGCTCCTTGTCCTAATGTATTAAGCTATTTATTTGTAATCGGGTTTTCTTCACCAGTGGAAGTGGTCTTAGTAGAGTTCCCACTTACTCTGCTAATGCAGTAGGTTACAATTGTAGGTTTAAAAAAACAGACATCTAACATTAAAAGTACTGGCTCTCCAGGAATGAACCTTACCTGGTTAAGACATATTACACTTTAAATTCACTCTTGGATGTGTCTCGCTGATACTTTGGTTAGAATGTGTGCATTACTGACCTGTTGCTTTTACTCTCCCTTCCTCACACTTTCTGTGTACTGTTGTGTTATTAAGGTTTCACTAAGCTTGTACAGGAACAGAAATGCACCCCTTTGACTGTTCTCTGAGAGATGTGGAGGAAAGGTAAGAACTCTAGCACTGTCTGGAGACACAGGGCTTAGGACCCACTAAGGCCTCATGGGTGGGGATTTCTGGGATGAGAGCCAGAAGGGCTGAGTTAGAAACATGGCAGGCGATGGAAAGCCCATGTGGCAGGGCTGCTGTGTGTGTCTGGAGCACTGTACTGTGGTCTCAGCTACAGCCCTGAACCAGAGTGTGGACAGACTACAGGTGGCTGTGAGCAGCCCCGGGAATGGTGGGCACATCTGGGAAGGTGTGAAGAGGACAGGTGGATGAGAAAGTGGATCCAGTGAAGGAGCCAGAGAAAGAAACAGAGATGCAGGAGGCAGGGCCCAGGCAGCAGGACCTCAGAGGTGAAGCAGGGTCATGGGCCATGGTCTCTCAGCTTCATGGCAGAGGACAGAGACATGGAGCCAGGGTTGTGTTCCAGCCCGTCTGCAGGCTGAAAGCTCCTTCCTTTGCCAGTCTATGGGCGACACTCACACCCCATCCTTTAACATGTTTCATTTTTGCCTCTGTGAGGGGTTGGCTCCTTCTGTAACGGGCTACAGAATAGTCATGTTTAGGTTTGTGGGCCATCAGGTAGCGTTTGCAACTGGCCAACCCAGTCACTGTAACAGAAGACAGTGTCTTGGATTTGGGTGTCACACAAACAAATGGTGTGATGGGGGCCCATAAAACCTTGTTTGCAAAAACAGACCCAGAGTTGGATTTGTTTTTTGGGGTACATTCCTGCCCCCTGGTCTATATCTCTTGTGGACAAATTGATTGTGACAGGTGTGTAAACCACAGTAAGACCTCATGCCCTGTGGAGGTCATGAAACCCATCATGTGACATGGAGAACAGCAGATGGGTGGTTGATGTAGTGTGTACATGCACTAAAGGGACCTCCTGTCCTTGTGGGCCCAGTAGAGACTTGTCATCTGTCCTGAGCCATCTCTGGGTGGGCTAGCACTGAGGATGTACCTGGTCCTGCACATTCTGTCCCCTGGGGATCTGGAACAACAGGCTAAGGCTGCTGGAGGGGAGTGGTCACAGAGAGGTGGTGCTGATGAGGCCATGGGGCATCTGTAGAAAGTCCAAGGAGCAGTCCCCAGTCAGGAGGGAAGAGCAGGGACCCAGACAGGGACAGAGCATGTGAGGACCTGGCTGCTGCTTAGCCGGCCTGGACCCTGTGTTCCTGAGGCTGGATCGTTGGCTCCCTGAGACCCAGAGGTAGCTCTGTGTTCGTCTCCCACATGTGCTATTTCCTGAGGGCTGAAGTCAGTGAATTTCTGCTCCTTGCACTCAAGTTGAAGAGGGCTGTGAGGAGCCCCATCCCTTCCTGTTCTCAGCATAGTGAAGAGGACCCCACTGTTTGGGGTGTACTGCAGGTTTGAGATCTTTGCGCTCCAACCGTCATGGCACAGTGCTGTGCGGTGGGTCAGATGGCATTCCCCCAATTCATGCCCATCTAGAACCTCAGAATACAACCTTGAATGGAAGTGGGACATTTGCAAATATCATGGAGTCTTGCTGGATTAAGATGGGTCCTAAATCCAGTGAGTGGTGTCTTTATAAGAAGAGGACTGACACAAGAGAAGGTGATGTGGGGGTGGAGGGGGAGAGCGGAGTGATGCAGCTTTGAGCCAAGGAATGCCCAGGATGGCTGGCCACCACCAAGCCAAACTTCAGATGGAGTTGACTCTGCTGACACCTTGATTTTGGACTTCTTGCCTCCTGAACTATGAGAGAATTTTTTTTTTGGTGGTACTGAGGTTTGAACTCAGGACCTGGTGCTTGCTAGGCAGATTCTCTACCACCTGATCCTTTTGCCTTAGTTATTTTTCAGGTAGGGTCTTGCGTTTTTTTGTCTAGGCTACCCTAGTCCACGATCCTCTTACTTAAAACTTCCACATAGCTGGGATGATAACATGCGCGGGTCCCCGCACACAGTTTTTTGTTGTTGCTATTGTTGGGATGGGGGCTTGGTAACTTCTTGCCTGGGCTGGCCTCAAGCCATGATCCTCCCAATCTCTGCCTCTCAAGTAGCTGGGATTACAAGCGTGAGCCACTTCACCTGACTGAGAGAATCAATTTTTGTTATTGTATTCTATCCGACACAGGGGTTAGGCAGGCAGTTGGGGAAACCTGATGGCTGAGAATGATGGCTTGGATGTTAATTTAAAAAAAATCACATCCTGGCCAACTGACATTAGTGGAATGACTCATGACATGAAGCAGTGCCTTGGTGATCCACGGACCTTGCCCAGTCCATTGAAAATGACTGTCCGGTCTGGCTATCCTGCTCCCCTGCCTGGCATATGGGAGGAGTTACTGATGCACAACCCTATTTCTGGAACCCTATTTCCTGGAATGGCCACCACCATGTCTGGAACCCTATTTCCTGGAATGGCCACCACCTCAATAAAAGTTTGAGATTTTGGGACCCTCAGGGCAGCCATTCTTTCTGAGCCTGCCGCCTGCTGCCTCTCGGGAGTGTACTTTCACTGCTCTGTGTTACTAAACCTGTTCTTGTTAAGTCTCTTTCTTTCTCTGATGAGACCAAAACCTTCTGGCCCTGACCCTGTCTGTGATCTAGACGCTGCGACATACATTGGTGGTGCTTTGTTGCAGTGGCCACAGGCAATGAGCACAGGGCTCCATAATGTGTGTCCGAACTAAAATGAAATGCCTTTTCCTAGTGTTGTTCCCTGAAGAAACTAGACTGTGGTTTTGGCCTGTGTGTTTCTTAAACCTGGGGTTCTTCTGGACTCCTAGAAGGACTTGGTACCACCGAGTGGGAAAGAGGCAGCCTTGGGAGTGGGAAGCTGTCTGTGGTGGTAGAATGGCAGTGACGAAGGGATATTCCAGTACCAGCAAAGCTGGCTGTGATGTAGATGGCTTCTGAAAACCCAGGTTCTTTAGATATTTGAAAGCACTCATCTCTGTGAATTAGCAAGCTGTCTTAGACGTGAGAGTTGTCTGTGCTATGGTTCAGACCGTGTTCCCCTGTGGGCCATGTGTTAAAGGATTGATCCTAGGATGGTGCTCTGGCCAGCCGTGTACTTGTTCCTGTCTGTGGACCATGGGGAGCTCGCAGGTGGACCCTGTGCAGTGGGGCAGGGGGTGTGTCTACTCCTCCCTCAGCATCCAACGGGTCACCAGCTCAGTCACTTCCAACCTCACCCACAGACGCCGCCACATCTGCCCTCGCTCTGATACAACAGGGACACGCCTGTGGCCAGGGCCTTAATGGAACCATTCATGAAAGCAGCTCTGCAAAGCCAAGGGTGAAGGGGGAAAGACCTCAGCGGAAAGGGTTTCTGGTCAGCAGGTGCAGGCAGCATTGTCCCTGAAGAAAGGTCATCAGCTCAGCTGTGTCTCCTGGGTCAAAGGCTGGCAGGTGGCCCTGGCTCTGTTCTGTGACCCTGAGTGAACAGCTGAGTGTCTGAGAACCGTCATCCCACAGGTGGGGCCCACACCGATGGGTGTCACATCTTGTTTCTGGATGGTGGCCGTGATCAGCAGGAAGCACAGAGTCCGTTAAGGACCCATGTGGAAGGAACAAGTGTGGGCTGCCTTGTCACTGGGTCCTGTCCCGTGAGTCTCCCCCTTCAGGGCTGGTGCGCCATCACAGGTTTCTGCAGAGCACAGACACACATACACATGTGAGTGAGTGTGCACATAGGTTCCCATGCACAAGCATGCACACATAAGCACATAAATACATGCAGAAGGATGTGACAGACACACGTGCACATAGAGAAACACAAAACATCTGTGTGCACACAGATACAAATGTAGATGGATGGTGTTTGCACATGCATGCTTGGCAGTATGCACACACATACATACCAGCATGTACATATTACACACAGAGGCACAAATGTGTGGTGTGCACACAGTTACACACCAGCATGTACGTGCACACACAGATGTAAAGGTGTGGTATACACACAGACACACACATGAGTGTGAACACAAATATACACCAGCATATACACACAGAGACATGTGAGTTCACACATAGACAGTTGTGGTGTGCACATAGGCACTTAGGCACACACGCAGATACACACATGGGCGTGCACATACACACACAGGTGCACACCCATGTGTGTGCACAACTCAGGCACACACAGAGATGCTTGTGCTTGCTTTCCTCCAGGCATTAGTCAGTCCCTTGGGGTTTTTTACTTAATTTTTCTCAGCCTGTCTCCCCAGCTGTGAATCTGGGTCAATGACACTGACCTCATCCAGTGGGGCATATGGATGTGTGGCAAATATTTGATATTGAGAGCTCTAGTGCAGGGAGGTATGGTTCTAAACATACAGATTTTCAAGACCTCATTGGCAGGCACTCCCTGTACTCCCTCCATTGTCCTCGGTACTCGTGGGGGTTGCTATGCTCTGGCCAGGGTGGAGGAGCCATCAATATTCAGCCCTGGCAGCAAGCTCGATGCAGACAGAGGTTTCAAGAGGTGCTTTGCAAGGGAAGAATAAGCTGGAACAGCTTTTGAGAGACTGGAGCCAGGCTGGTCACTGCTCGAGCTCCTGTAACTGGCTTGAAGTTGAAGCCTGTGGGTAATGAGAACTAGCCAGGGGGCCGAGCTGCTCAGACATGGTAGGAGAGTGACAGGGAGCTATGGCGCGGTGGCTTGGACGTGGTATGTCCTCCACGGTTCATGCATCGAAGGCCTGATCCCCAGGGTGGTGGTGGTGAGAAGGTGGACCTTTGAGAGGCAGGGCCTTGAGAGAACTCCTCAGGTCACTGGGGCACACCTTTGGAAGGGGTTCAGAGAATTCTCCTGGGACCCTGGTTAGTTCTCAGAAGAATGAATTGTTTTAAAAGCCTGAGCCTGACCCCTTGCATTGCCCCTTGTCACTCTATCTGGAGATGTCATCTTGCATTGCCACACACAGTCCTGTTTTTGGATGCCATCTGCTAAGAGGTCCTCACCAGAACTGAGCTGGTGTCAGAGTCATATCCTTGAATCTCCAGGATGGTGAGCTAAGCAAACCTCTTTTCTTTGTAAAGAAGCCTGCCTTCGGTATTTCATCATACAGTAATGAAAAAAGGACTAACAAAGGGGTTTTGGATCTTGATGGAGGCCACTGGCTGCTGAGTTTTCACGTGCATCTCTAGCACTAAGGTGGTCTGAGAGGTCACTGTGTGTTTCTGGGAAGTACATGCAGAGGCCTTGGGCAGAGCCCATGTGAGCTGCATGGCTGACAACCTGAGCACTGAAGGAGTCAGGCGCAGGTCTTCGGGATGCATTTCCTGTGGGAAGTGACCTGCCCAGAACAGCGGGATGGTTCTGCTATTTGAGAGGAGCCCAGGAAAAAACTCCCCAAAGAAGTCTGGGTCAGCCCTGGGTGGGCAGAGGGATCTCTGTCGAGCGACCTCATTGTCTCACAGACTGTCCCTTCCCAGGCCCACCCCAGGGCGAGGGGGTCATTTACGACCAGGCCGGTTTTAGCATTTTTTTCTCGTTGGGGTACTCTAAGAAGTTTTCAGTTCTCCTTTTGCGGAGTTCACCTGACTTTCTGCTTTGATTCTCTGTTTTTAATTCTTATCTGCTTACCCAATTTTCTTTACAAGACTTAATACCGATATGTAAATCTGACGGGGATTTCAAAGGCTCCTCAGAAGGGAGAAAAGACATTACCGCGAAGATGTGACTGACCATCCCCTTCCTCCCGTTAGGGTTCCTCTGGGTCAGGGATCCACGGTACACTGACTTCCGATCCAATGAGTCACCGTCTTTGCCTTTGCAGGAAACAGATGAGAGGATTTTACTGACCGCACACCTGGAAGCCAGGGCCTGGGCTACCTGAGACATCCAAACAGCGCCATAAAAACAGACAGGTCCCCTGTCTGTTTTTTTTTTTTTTTTTTTTTTTGGTGGTACTGGGGCTTGAACTCAGGGCCTACACCTTGAGCCACTCCATCAGCCCTTTTTTTGTGATTGGTTTTTCCTGAGATAGGAAAAAGCCAGAGATGGGGCTTTGTGAACTATTTTCCCGGGCTGGCTTTGAACCACAATCCTCCTGAGCTCTGCCTTCTGAGCAGCTAGAATTATAGGTTTGAGCCACGGCACCCGGCCATGGAATATTTTTAATGGAGCATTTACATGTTAGCAGTTGAGCCAATAAACAGCTCAGAACATTTCTTTGTCCTTGGCTCCTCAGATGGGCAAACAACAGAAAACTCATTACACTCATGTCTGGGGTGCGTGGCCCCTCTCTTTTCCTTTACTTCTGTGACCGGACAACAGGCCTGAGAAGACTTGGGACTCAGACCCTCAGAACAGAGGCTATGGCCTCCGGGCTCGCCTCAGGGCTACGGCTGTGGAGCTGGGAGCTGCCAGCCCTAGCCGGCTGTTTCTGCTTGGGTGGGTGGGCAGACGGCAGCCTCTGCACACCTCCATGTCTCAGGTGGGGGTCCTCCTGCCCTGGGGCAGGTGCTCCGTGAGCAGGGGAGCTGGACCTGCTCGCAGGGCTCCCGAGGGCTGACCATGTGCATCTCCGGCAGTCACCACATTCACTGACACACTCCACATCCGGCTGTTTGCTTTTTCTTCTCCTTCTTTTTCTTTGTGCGCTGGCTCGCCAGCACACTGCGTCTTCCGTGTCAGGGGGGTGCGTTCTGCCTGTCTCCTTATCCGTTTGTCCAACTTGGCCCTGACCTCTGCCCAGCGAGCGAGCTGCCTGCCCAGGGATCGAAAGTACTGAGTGGTGAGGACATGGAGGGCCCTGAAGATCTAGGGACTGAGGCTCAAGGACCAGGCAAGGCTTGGGGCTGGCTCTGGCAGGCTGATGACCAGCCATCCTGGCCACATGGGATCCCGTGTGCGGACAGTCGTAAGAGTTTGCTAGGTTGTGCTTCACGCTCAGGCGGTTGGGGGCCAAGGGTTGTTTGTGAGCTGATGAGGGTGTGATGAGTGCTTCATGCGATGACCACAGAGTGGTGGCATTTGGCATCTGACCTTGAGTGAGCTACCTCTCTCTGGTGAGCTGTGGCCAGGTTTCGAGGTGAGCAGGGGACAGACACAAGTACATGCTGTCCTGACAGCCTGACATGGGCTGAGAAGGCTCCAGGCCTCCTTCCCATTCATCTAGGACAAAGCTGGTGGCCTTGCCACCATTGAGACTTCAAAAAAAAAGGGCTAAACGCTGTCCTGTACTGTCTGTAAGGACTGGAATCATGCTGTCTCAGGATGGTTTACACTAGAAACTGGAAAATGCCAGCATTTCCAACACCGTCTTTGGATGCTTCAAGCCATCCTGAACACGAGGAGTGGGACCTGTGGTGGCCAGTGTGGCCCTGGGGGTGTGTCCCACAGATTACACTTGTGTCCTTCCCTGAGCTCATTCCCCAGGCCCATGGGTGTAAGGGAGGCAGGCAGCTCTTACCTTGACCTTTAGGGGAGTACTTCCTCCTCAGCAGATCGGGCCTAGCCACTGCCTACAAGAGAGAGAACATCTCTAGGTGTCACTAAATTGTGTGATATGCAGGAACACGGTGAGCTAATTGTGGATTTGTTCTTCTGGTTCTAACTAACCAGGCAATACTTGAACCTTTAACAATTTTAGAACGCATGCTCTCTGTAAGGTAAGCATGATGCCTGAATGGAATAGATGCTCAGTTTTGGAGAAACCCCCAGTTTTGGGCAGTGTGGCAGAAAGAGCACAGATTTTAGCCCCATGGGTCTGGGTTCAACTCTCTGTGCTGCCCTTTACTGCCACGTGAAATGGACACATCTCTGTGAACCTCGTCTCCTCCTCTGTAAATGGGTGTGCTTAATCCCTTCCCAGCTCTTGGGGTGTTGGCTCCCAGCCCTCCTCCCCTCTGGCTGCCTCCTGACAGTGTGATTCAGCTCATTCTCTGTTTGGCTTTTTCAGCAGTGGGGAGAAAAGCAAAGAGCGTAGGTCCTCTAGCCATTCTTTGGTTCCTGGGGGATTTTTTTTCCTGTCTCATTTTGGGGGTGGCATCTGCAGGTACGGGTGGCAGGAGCCCTCAGGGCTGGGCTTTCTGGGACTCATAAGACATAGTAGAGTGCAAGGGGTGTCAGAGTCTAGAGGCCTGACTAGGACCCTAGTGTCACCCCCACCTGTGTGGCATTGGTCCAGCAGCCCACCTCCTGGAGCCCAGTGCAGCAGGTGACTGTCACTGTCAGGTTTGTAAACACCAAGTGGAATTATGGACATAAGAACAGCACTCTTTGTGGCTGTGATGAGCTGCCCAGCACTCTTGCTGTTGTAAGTGGCCAGACGTGAACTACGGCTCATGGCAGAAATGGGGCTGTAGGCAGGACTGGGAGCGCCTTTCAGGGCCCCAATCCTACTTCTAACCACCTCTAAATGCAGGTGATCGCCCCTCTCCAGGGGACTTGCACACTGGCTCCCAGATGTTTTCTGCTCCAGTGGCCTTTGTCTCCCAGACAGAGGATGATCTCTGGGAGGGCTGCTGGAGCCCATCTGCTATCCAGGGCAGCAGGAGGACTTGGGAACTGATGTGGACCCTTGCCTGTGACTAATAGAAGCAGAAAGGATGAATGTTCCAGCTTCCTTGCCCCTGAGCGGGACGACCCGGGATATGACATCTACTGTCCGCACAGTTCCTTGAAGGACTGAGCCTGAGAGTCTGCAAGGGTTTGGTAGATGCCAGCACTTGCTCCCTTCCCTCCTGTCTCCTGTCCTGAATTTCCCCCAATAAAGGCTTCTTCATAGACCCCCTCATCCCTGTATGTGTCCCAGAAAGTTACCCTATGGGGGTTGCCAGGTTCTTGGGGTGCATGTCTGAGCTCCCCGCTCTGCAGCCTCTGCAGAGGTTACCACTCTTACTCTGTCCAGGCTCTAGAGGTGGGTGAGCAACACACACCTTGACCTCACCCGCAGGGTCTGCGTTCTGATCCTTTGGACTCTGGCCGAGTCTCCCAGCAACCCGAGGAAGAAAGATCTAGAGGCCAAGGAAGAAACTCATGTTGTTACACCTTGGTGAGCCGCAAGCCACAGGGTGAGGATCAGGCTGGACTGGGAGGAGCATTCTCTTTCAGTACTCCGTCAAGAATTTGGGGCTAGCCGGGTGCCAGTGGCTCACATCTGTAATCCTAGCTACTCAGGAGGCAGAGATCAGGAGGATTGAGGTTCGAAGCCAGCTCAGGCTAATAGTTCGAGAGCCCCATTTCAAAAAAACCCTTCACAAAAAAGAGGGCTGGTGGAGTGGCTCAAGGTGAGGTTCCTGAGTTCAAGCCCCAGTACCACACACACACACAAAATGTTGGGGCTCGCCTAGCACGTCACCCCCAAGCACACTGACACAGGTGTGGGATGAGAGCTACCACAGCAAATTAAAATACAGGATGCCCTGCTGGCTTTGAATTTCAGGTCCACCATGCGTAATCCTTTAGTGTACGTTCGACCCCAGAGTTGCAAGGGATGTACTTGGACTAGAACATTGTGTGCTGTTTATCTGCCACACAAGGTCATCTTGAGTTCTTCTTGGTGACTTCTCTGGGGTCCCGTGAGAGCATCCTTCATTCTTCTGCTCACTCTCCTCCCGCAGCGTGTGTCTGTCTGAAGCCTCCTGGACCCAGGGAAGAAGGATGCAGGTTTCTGGTTCCTCTTACAGGGGCAGGTCCTGTGACACCTGTCCTTCCATTCATCCATTCTACTCACATCACCTTTTTCTTTTGTATTCAGGGCCTCATTGTGTATGTAGCCCAGGCTGACCTTGAACTCACAATCTTCCTGCCTCAGCCTCCCAATTGCTGGAATTACAAGCATGTACCACCAAGCCTGGCAAAGTTACACCCATCTTAAAGTGGCACTGTATTAAGTCCTCCAACACAAGGGTTGACCATTTGGGATGCTTCTTTTGGATTTTAAAATGAGTGTTTCCAATTCTCCGAGCATGGGCTGGGCTTCCCATGTACAGCCTTTCTTCAGGTAGAAGCAACAAATAATAAAAGCCTCCACATGGGCCCAGCTCACTACCAGGCTGTATGTAGGAAGCAAGATGGCAGCTGGAGGAGGAGGTGGGCAGGTGCCCAGGGCTGGGAGGACAGGGCTTGGGGGTCCCCCGCGAGGCTTCTGGGAAAGTTCTGGGGACCCCTCTACCCTCCACCCCCACTCACCGGGAGGTTTGACTTCCTCCGGGGCTTTTCTGGGGTCTTCACCGTGAGCCCTGCAGCCCTTAGGGCTGCAATCCTAGACTCAATGTCTGAAACCTGGAGAGCAGCAGACAGATAGTCAGACAGACAGACGCCAGTCTATGTCACATCTCAGAGTCAGGGATCAGAAACGGCAGCTGCCCAAGTCACTCATCTAGTCAATTTTGCTTTTGCTTCCTCTGAAGATGGCGTCCCAAGCACAAGCCTGTCCTGGGTCCCCTCTGCGTTCCTTCCCTGGCTGGGTGTGTGTGTGGGTGCTCTGTAGGACACCCCAGAGAGTTGAGAAGGCTCTGTGCACATTCTGGGAATGGGTATTAGGGAGTGTGGCTCCCACGGGGTGAGGCTGACCCTCACCGGGCCTCTCCCACCTGCCTTCTTGCTCTGACCCCTTCCCTCTTAGGCCTCTCCTCCCACAGGGACCAGAGGAAGCATCTGGAAACAGAAACCCCCTCCATCACTTCTTTTCTTTTTTGTAGTAGTAAGGATTGAACCCAGGGCCTGGCTCATGCTAAACACACACTCTACCATTGAGCTACGCCTCCAGCTTGTCCCCCAAACTTTTCTCTGTGACCCTCAAGACCCTCTGCTGCTCATCTCCTCTGGGACCTGCCTCCTCCATTCCTTCCATCAGGTCTCAGGGTTTCACTGCTGATCCCTGAACATGCCAACGTGACAGCACCCCAGGGTCTTTGCACATGCTATTTCATCTGCCTGGCCTCATGTTCCCCTAGATTTGCTATGCCAGTGTCCTTCCATCCCCTTCTCTGTCTGTGGGGTTACCTCCCTTCCCGTCTTCATAGCTCTCTCTAAGGAACAGTCTTGTTTGTTTGTTGTCTATCTCCTCCCTCTAAGAACATAAGCTCCATGAAGGTAGGGTGTTCACTGCTATGCCTCAGTTTCCCACACAGGCTAGTCATGCTCTGGGAAGGAATCAGTGAATGACAACTTCTGAACCCGCCTTGCTTCCGTAGTGTGAGTGGCGTTGGGCGGGCCTGCCCACTTTTCTTGGGTACTCGCTGATGAGGGGGCAAGGGTGCTGGCTGTCCCTGAAGTCTGGGCACAGGCCTTCTCTTCTCTGCAGGGCTCTCGGGAGGACAGCACAGTGCCTGCATCACTGTGGCTGCTGGAGGTGGGGGGCTCAGGCCTTTGACCTGTACACCGCTGGCACAACCCTGTTAGACTCCGGCTCTGCAGCCGCCTCTGGGAGGCCCACCACCAAGTCCGGTCCTGAGCCCTGGGGCTGAACTAACGTCTCAGCTGCCTCCAGGCCCTGCTCACAGACAGAGAGCAGCAAGCACTCAGCAGTTTTTCTCATGGTTGAGAAATCCACCTGCTTGTCCTCAAGACAAGTAGGAAAAATAACAGGGGCGTTCCCCACAGAACCCCCAAATCCACACTCTGCCTCTCTGGGCAGCTATCAGTGCTATTAGACCTGATGGCTGGTCTCAGCCACCACGTCACTATCATCTTTGAGAAACCTGTACCCCCTGGGCCCCTGGGCTACCTCGCTCTCAGCCTGCTGGACTTCAGATGCTGTCATGGCCACTTTGTCCTCCAGCTCTGACAGTTCCTCGTCCGTGGTCCTGTTGGGCTGGGTCAAGTCGCCAGGGTCCTGAGGGCTCTTTCTCTGTGTGTCCATGTGGCCTTTGGCTGTGTATACCTATGAATGAGGAGGGTGACTCTGGCTACCTGGCCACCAGTAGGAAAGTGCAGGACACTGCTCTTCTGTGGGTACCTGGTCTCCAGGCTCCTCACCCTGACCTGACCTTATTAAATGCCCTTCGTGTCCCTGCGGGTGGCTGCCTGCCCTGGGGAGGGCTGGTGGCTTGGTTACAAACTGCTGGCCACCCAGGACTCTTCATCCTGCCCCAACCCTGCTGGGGATGACCAGGGTTGCCTCACCTCTGGAGCCACCTCTGATAAGGCCCCATCTGGCTTGGCCTCTGCATCCCTGCCCTCCTCCTCCTCTGTCGAGGTGCCCTGGTCACTGATGTTGCTGGTCAACTCCTCCAGCCTCCTCCTGAGGGTCTCCTCCTCCACGTCGGCCTCCGTGTGTGCTCCAGCAGCTGGACCCTGACAGGCACAGGCCAGGTGCTCAGAGGCAGCCATACGAGACTGGCTGACCCCACCAGGCCCCACGCTGGGGCTGTAGTTCTTGTCCCTTCTCTAGGTGAACCTGTCCCATACCCGAGAGGTAGGGGACTCAGGTGATGCTCATCAGCACCAATGGCCATCTAAGATCCACTTTTTTTGCCTCTTTTTCTTCTCTTAATTTTTTTTTCAGTACTGGGGCTTGAACTCAGGGCCTTCACCTTGAGCCACTCCACCAGCCCAGTTTTTGTGATAGGGTTTTTTGAGATAGTGCCTGGAGAACTGTTTGCCCAGGCTGGCTTTGAACCATGATCCTCCTGATCTCTGCCTCTTGAGTAGCTAGGATTACGGATGTGAGCCACGGGCACCTGGCTAATTTTTGTTTTTGTTAGCTGGGTATAGTGGTATACACTTGTAATTCCAGCTAGTTGGGAGGTGGGTGCAGGAGGATCTTGAGTTTAGGCCAGCCTGGGATGCATAGCAAGGCCCTGTCTCAAAAAACCAAAACAAACAAACAGACAACCAAACAACAACAACAACAAAAAACAAGGGCTGGAAACGTAGCTCTGTGGTAGAGCACTTGGCAAGCATGCACAAGGCCAAAAACAAAGAAACCCTTTGCTCTGCTTCTTTTCTCTGTCTTTATTCTTCAAGGCCTTACTCCTTTACAATTCCTTAAAACCTTGCATCTTTTCTATTCTTTAAAGTCTCTTTCCTTAGACTTGCTCTGTCCCATGTTCTCTTTAGCTTTTCCCTAGCTTAGCTTTTCTAAAGCCTGTGGATAAAGTTCTCGGTGCAGAAAGCTGCTCTGGTGGAGACTCAACAATCAGCAGCAGGGGCAGCAGCAGCCAATCAAAATTCCCCATCAAAAACCTCCTGTCCTCCTTCAGGGAGTCTTTTATATCCAGTGGTAAACAAGGAGGTGGAGCAGCAGTTCTCGGGGAGGGGCCTGACATTGTAACAAGAGAAACCTGCGTTCCTGCTTCTCTGAATGGAAACAGCTTAGGAAAAGCAGCTGAGCTGCATCTCACCTAGGCTTCTCACAATCCGCTCCCCACAGGCACCACCTTCCAAAGGCACCCAGGAACTAGGTGCCTTGCATCACCTCTGCTGCCCTGCTGGGTTCTCCAGCCACCTGCTTCAGCCTGGTCTTTTTCCGTAGCTTCCTAACTGTCTCAGAATGCCAGCCAGAGTGACTGTCATAGCCGTCAGGTGCTCTTCTTCACTCACATCTCCCACTTTTCCCAGAGTGAAAGGCAGGGCTTGGACACGGCCCTCCATTATGTCAGCCCTCACCTTCTGTTCCTCCAGAGCGCATGTGTTGGAAACTCCATCGCAAATTCATATGTTGATGGCACATAGAGATCAGGAGGAGGGAGAGGAGGGGGGAGGAGGGGAGAGGAGGGAGGGAAGAGGGGGGAGGAGGGAGGGGAAGTCTTGAGATGCGTGTTTGCTCTGCTCTGCCATGTTTTGGAAAGGCCAGAAGGCCCATGCCAGGTGCTGGTGCCATGTTGTTGGGCTTCCCAGCCTCCAGAACTGCAGGTAATATATGTATATATTTTTTATCTACACCCGCTTTTAGGTTATTTTGTCACAACAGAAAACAGATGAAGATGGCTTCTCTGCCCCAGCCCAGCCTCATCCCATCCTGGTCACCTTGTCTTCTGCTGTGTCTGGAACACTCCATCCCACAAGCCCGCATGGAGGCCTGTGGGCTTCTTGCTCTTTGGGTGTTTCACCACTCAGTGGGGTGTGCCGACCACTCTATTTAAAATGGCGCCTATGGTCTGGTCATCCATCCCCTGCCTCACTCACTCAATTTCTGTCTGGCTTCCTCCACTTACTGACCTTGTTCTCCTGTTGGGTGGCTTATTTCCTGCCTCCCCTGACTAGAACAAAACCCTGTATGACATTCTCTACTGCCAGTTTTGTTCACTGCCGCCTCCCCACTCCAGGAACCAGGGCTTGGCACACAGCAGCTCACATGTCTGCCAGCTCTTTCCAGGGTCCACACCACCATGTCCTCTTATAACACAGCCATGAGGGCAGAGAGTTCATTCGATCCTTCTTTCATTTACCCATGCGCACTCACTCAGTGGCTTTCTTTTGGCCCCACTAAGTCGACTTTTGGGGACTGCACTCGGGAGTTTTAGAACCTTCTCGTCCCTTCTTTTAGGGGTGAGTCACCTTTGTCACTCTAGAGTGCTGAAAGGAGGGACAGGAAGTTAGTCACCGCCCCCGTGCCCACCAGGCAGCATCGATTCTCCCTCCGCCCCAGCTCCTCAAGCAGGTGGCTGATGTTGCTCTCGGTCATCTAATTTTCTGTTTGAAGGATCCATTAAGCTGGATCAGCAGGCCCCACTGTATCCCGGCCTCACAGAATGACACCAAGAGGCTAATGAGATTGGGTCCATAGCAGAGCACCCATTCTTAACTTGTCTACAAGGTTCCCCTTTGCTGACAAGGCTGAGAAACCAGAATCTCCTCGGAGACCTCAGGGATAGAAAGAACCTCCATGACATTTGGCCTGGAAATTCTACTGAGTCTGCTATGATCAGAGCTTTTCCCCAGACTAGGAAGGATTGAGAAACCCTGAGGTCCCCATGAAAACTGGCAGGAAAGGGAGAGCTGGTGGCATTGTGGGTGCAAGTTTGTGCACCTCTGTGAGAAGCAGGTATTATTCCCTACTTTGTGAGAAGTATACAGACACACCTCATACACAATATGCAGACACACAGACACTTGTATGTACAGGATAGAAAACTCCTGGCAACACATATGTGTGCTGGGCAACTGGGCCAGCATGGCTAGTGTGGGTCATCATCCCCCTGGTGTTTAGAGGGGGCCCAGCTCCCTCACAGCCCAAATCATCACTGGCTTTGGGGGGGTCTTGTGCCTAAATGATCCAGAAGGGTGGGCCTATGAGCAGAGCCCCTTAGAGAGTGGAGCGTTGAGTGTAACTTCTGACCTCCTCTTCTCTGCCTGGGTTTGTGTCAGGAAAAGTTCATCTGTGGGAGTTGGAGCACAGGCAGTCTCCTGCTGACCATAGGAACTGACAGGCAAGAGGCAACTGGCTCAGGACCAGAGAAGGAGGAGGAAGGAGTTGATCAGGAGGTAGTCAGAGAAGGAGAGTGACAGATCTTCCTAGGGAGCAGAGTGGGGAGCTGGGGCCTGAGGGAACTAGGATCAGCACCCAGCAGGAGCCTGGGGACAACCTCGAGGATGGCTTGCTGGGGTGGGCCCTGGTGTTGTGTGGGGCATGGATCCCGGGAAGGGTAGGATCCCTGACCAGGCTCAGGTGAGGGACTGCCCTACAGCACAAAGGGAGAAACCACCCACCTGCTTCCACATGGGCTCTGAGGCCCTCAGGAGAGCCTGGGCTCAGGCTCCTTATTTGCAAATGAGGGGACAAGCATCAGCCTTGAAGGGCTGGTGCTCCTGAGGCTGGGCCCCAGAGGTGTGCAGCTGCAAACCTAGGGCTCTACAAAAGGGTGCCAGGTGCTGGGTGTGTAACTGGAGTGGAGGCCTGAACCTCCCTCCCCACAGCCCCCTGGCAGTCTGCCTCTCAGACAGACAGACATGTGCACACACCTATGCACACACTTCTGCATTAAGCCACAGCTTTGTTGCCTTGGCATGCTGCTGTGTTTGCATGCATCCCCCAAAGTTCACTTGCTGGGAACTAAATGCCCAGTGCAGCGGTGTTGGAGGTGCGGCCTTTAAGAGGTGATTAGGGTGTGAGGGCTGAACTCTCTCAAATGAATTTATGTTGCTATCATGAGAGTGATTTGTTATAAAACTGAAATCAAGACCTTCTTGTGCTTGCGAGTGCTCTCTGTCTTTCTCTGTCTGTCCCTAAATCACCAGGTTTTCAATATTGCATTAGAAGAGCATGAATGGGCTGATTATACAGCTACATGATACCAAGGAGACCCTGCCATGCTGTGGCCTGGACTCAGGGCTACAGGACCAAGTGAGTTCCCCAGCTCCTCCTCCTCCTCCTCCTTACTGTATACGGGTTTGAACTCAGGGCTTCATGCTTGCTAGGAAAGCACTCTACCACTTGAGCATAACTCCAGCCCTTTTTGCTCTGCTTGTTTTGGAGATAGGTCTTGGTTTTTGCCCAGGTCAGCCTGGACCACAATCCTTGTATTTTAAGTTGCCCACTGTCACTGGGATGACAGGCCCATGCTACCACACCTATTTTTTTTCTGTTGAGATGGGGTCTCACAAAGTATTTTTTTTTTTGCCCAGGTTAGCCTGGAAGTTCAATGCTCCCCATCTCAGCCTCTTGCATAGTTTGGGATGACAGGTCCATGCCCCCAAGCCCAACTATTGGTTGAGATGGGGTCTTGAGAATTCCCTGCCTGGGCTGGCCTCTCACTCCAGCCTCTTGATCTCAGCCTTCCAAGTAGCTAGGAGTACAGGCATGAGCTACCAGTGCCCCGTTCCTCCAGGTTCTTTGCCAGCTCTGGCTTTCTAGCCCTCTCTGGTTATATCCCCTGGGCAGGCTGCCACACCCAGGTGTCCTCTGAGCTCTGACATCCAAGCCCAGGTTATGGGGGTGGTGGAGGAAGTTTATGTTGGGCTTGGATGGGGCAAAAGACTTCATGTGGGTGGGCTGGGCAGGGGACACCGCCTGTCCTCTGGGCACCGTGCCCGGGGCAGGTGCAAGCCTGCGGTTGCAGCCTCTGGACGCGATTCCCCTAGAGCCAGCATTAATGCCTCAGGCTCCTTAGCTGAGGGCTGTGGACTCTCCTTGATGCCCTGGGTATTACTTGGGCCAAGGGAGGCACACCTGTGTTCTCCAGGTGTGTGAGCAGATGTTCCACAGTCAACATGCGCTTATTCAGCTCAGAGATCTGCAGCCCAGCAAGAGGGAGCGGGTGGGACCCAGGCCCAGGGTCCACTAGCAGGACACTGTAATCCTCCACCTCTGAAGCCCAAAGACCCGCCCAGTAAGGCCACCCCCACGGTTAGCCTGGGAGGTTAACCGTGAAACCAGTTTGTGACGCTTAGGGGCCTAGAAAACCAAGCAGAGGCTGTGAGGGGGTAAGGATGGGGAGACAGAGCAGAAGAGCTGAGAAATCCAGCCAGACAAGGCAGCCGCGTCTGAAAGGTGGTGACCATGTCATTGCCACCGGGAGGCCACTGCTGGTACAGATCAGCACAGGAAGGTGTGAATTAAGAAGGACATGGTGACCAAACTAAAATCATTAACTAGCAAAAGTCCTGGGTCACTTGTATACAGTGACCAAAAGTACAGCTTCTTCATCCTTGAGTCACCAGACTCTTGAGTCACCCGAAATCTATTAGCTTTCAGACGGAGACAGAGGAAAATCAATGCCTCTTTGATTCCTCTTTGGTTTGCTCCTCACCACTGGGCGCCTCTTCCCTGCATTATCTCATTTACCACTTGCCTTGTCTTAAAAGAGGAAATGACACCAGAGGCCAGGATGCTGCATGGTGGGGCAGGTAATTAGTTTGATCTCCACAGCCCCGAGGGCTGAGTGAGAGAAGAACAAATGCTGGAAATATCAAACCGAGTGTTCAGTAGGTAGCCCTCGGCCCATGTCTGCCTTGAGTGGCTGCTGGTGTGGAGATCATACGGCTGTGGTCATTTAGTGTCTGAGGTGGCACTGATCAGATCAATACCCTGGGAGAGCTCTGCAGAAGGCCTTTGTCTCCTGGGTTGCCACCCACCGGTTTCTGACACTGTCATCATGAAATGGCACTTTAGAAGTGCAGGATTAGGGAGGACAGCCACTATGAGAGGCTAGGAGGGTCTCATCGAGATCCCTGAAGAGGGTGGGGGAGGCTGGGGCTGAGGAGGTAGGCCAGGGAGGGAAGGGGGGGCAGGTGCAGGTGGCCTTCTGATAAGCCCATGGCTGTGGCTGGGTTCCCATGGCACAGTGGCTTCTGGGATCTAACAAGGAACCTCAACAAAACAGCTGTACTTTTCCACGAAGAAAACACAAAGTAAACAAAAAATAAACAGCTTACTTCTCCCTGTTGAAAATAAGGGAAGAGTCAGGTATGGTGGCCATGCCTGTGATCCCAGCACTGGGGAGGATGAGGCAGGAGGATGGTGAGTTCCAGGCCAGCCTGGGCTACATAGGAAGACCCTGTCTCACATCCAAGGGCTGAGGGTGGGGGCAGCTCAGTGGCAGAGCGCTTCCTAGTATGTGAAAAGCCCTGGGTTTGATCCTCAGGACAGCAATAAGTAAATAAATAAATAAATGCAAGAGACCCCTCCCCTCTTCAGTTCCTTTCAGAATTTCTTTCTTTTTTTTTTTTTTTTCAGATATATGCAGAACTTCATAGCTGACTAAAAAGCCTCTGCCAGGCTCACTACTCAGGACCTGGGAGCTGCCACTTTGAAAGGCACATGTCCCAGTGTCTGAGGAATGGGAAGAGACTAACTGTGGGTCGCCTTGCTTCAGTTTGCAGAACTACCTCTGGCCTTAAAGAGAGAGCTGGTGTTTCTTCTCTGGATAAAACCACCACAGACAGTCCCCCCCACTGTCCTGATAAGTCAGGACACGATGAGGCTGAGTGACAGAAAGTGCTGTCGCTCCTCTTTCTGGAGGTCTTGGCTCTTTACCCTGAGAAGTGGAGGCCTGGGCTGGGCTGCATCTGCTGCTTCAGGGATGAGGCTCCTTCCTGCCCCTGTGATCCTCAGCCCATTTGCCCAGGGTTCCAGAGAGCACGGCATATTTTAGTGTAATAAAACTGTTTGCTGTCCTTCATACCTTGCTTTGTGAAGAAGTTTCTGAGTGGCAAAAGATTAGGGTGATTTAAAAAAAAATTCTCTTCCCCAACAGCAATGACTGCTAGTCAGGGCAGCATCACACACAGCCTGGATGCCTGGCTCTTCGTGGGCTCCATGTGGACTTTCGTGTGCTTAAATGCATGGTGGGGAGACAGGTGTGAGCTCCTGGGCTTTCAGCTTGCACACAGGCCAGGGAGTAATGGAACCACGCTATTCTGTCACTGGTAATGCTTTCTTGGGGGAAACCAAGTCTGCGTCTGGGCCGTCTGGAGCACCAACAAAGTCTTTCCAGAAAGTGGTAACCATGAATACAAAGTGCATATATTGGTAATCGATAGGCAAATGACCACCGGATTAACCCAGGAAAACAGATTCTCAAGTGCTCTCAGGTCCCACGGCTGTGTCTGAAAGTCCTGGGTTTGGAAACACTGGTCTGTGGGGCAGACCAAGGGGCTTCCTCCCAGGGTCCTGTGGTGACCCATTGAGGACAACTCCTGCAATGGGCTGCCTGGCTCCTTCCTGGCATGCGGGATGTTGCTCGGCTGGCAGGCCCTTGGTCACTTCCCCTCACTTGCAGATCTGTGGCCATAATGAAGGGAACATGGTAGCTGAAGTAAGTAACAGTTACTAGGGATGAATAAGGAGAAAGAATTCCAGAGATGGGGCATGCAATCAGGAAGTAGTTAGGGAGTGACTCCAAGGAGGCATAAAGGATGATTTGCATCAGCAGGACTGTCAGGATTCCCTCCCTTTTCCAGGCTGAATAATATTCCACTGCTCTACTTTCCACATTTTGCTCATCCATTCTTCTGTGGCTGGACGCACAGGTTGCTATTGTGAGTTATGCTGCTACGCACTTGAGGGCACACCTGTCTCTTTGAGTCCCTGCTTTCAATTCTTTGGGGATATACTCTGAACTGTAATTGCTGAACCAGATGCTAACTGTATTTTTAAAGTTTGTTTGGAGACACAGTCTTAATATGTAGCCGAGACTGGCCTTGAAGTTGAGGCCTCAGCTTCCTATGCTTCAGTATGCCAGGCTTATTCTTAATTTTTTAAGGTACAGTTGTACTAAAGTGATTAGCTTTATATTAAGTGAATTCAATTGAATAAAAGATACATATTTTGACAACATAGCTCCATGAAATAGGTAATTTTATGGTTTGAAAGTACTGAAAGTTGCAGTTTTTCTAAGGTGACTTGGTGAACTCTTTGGCGCCCTCTTACCTGACTCTCAGTTGCAGCCTGGGCTCTCCGCCTGGAATGCTGGGAGGCTGCCCTGGGAACATGGATGCTGTCTTCATCCGAGGTGTCCACGTCGGCCAGGTACTGTGAGGGGAGTTGCCCATTGCCTTTGGAGGAAGAGAGGGTTTGAATTTCTAGGAGTGAAAAGCTGAGAGCAACAGACACACTTTGTCCAGTGAAGAAGGAAAGCATGGAGGAAGTACAGCCATCATTACGCTCTTTTGACGTTTTTGCCTGAGTTCTGAAGGCTCAGTGACAATGGAGCAGGTCCCTCCTCATCCAGAGCTCTGCAAAAAGCAGCCCCTGCCTGTCTCAAGATGGGGCCTGTGGAACTGACATGCTTGGCACTTTTGCAAAGCAAATGTGAAATTCTGAACTGCAAATAACACTGAATTCCGGGTGCGGGGAGGGCAGAGGGGGCCTGGGATGTTCCTAGGTTCCCACAAATGGCCGTGACTTTCAGAAGCCTTTCCACACCTGCACAGCCATTGCCAGTTACTTTTCATTCTGGACACACGATGCATGACCTTCGTGAACCAGAGGCCTCTGCAGTGTGGCTTGGAATGCTTATTCCAGGGCTCCAAGGAGAGGTGACCCCACTGTCACCAAGTCCTCACCAAAGTTGCCTGACACACCTCTACTTGGCCTGATGGCACCACAGGGAGGCGGGGGGAAGGAGGTGACCTGGCATGGAGGGCCCCGCATGGCACGTGGGCTATCTCTCAGCACGTGCAGAGCGGCACCTTGTTCCTGCACTCGAGGTGCACTGTGCATCCTGCCAGTAACCTGAAGGTGCATGGGGGTGGCCAGGTGAGAATGCAGCCCCACCCACACAGCCTGGGAGACCCTGTGCTGAGGACACACTGCACCTCGTTACACTCCTGGCCCCAGTGTGTGTGGGGAAGATCGCATGTCTGTTGTTTCATCACACTTTGTGATACAACCATTGTTTAGTGCCTGCAACAATGGGCGGGCTAGCTGCCACTAATCCCCTTTCTCCAATGGGATGGGATGCACGGCTAGTGGGGGGCCTTGTGACCAAACAAGTCTCCAGGGCATCATGTCAGCCCTTGCGGACTGTCTGCTGCTCCATCGGATGGGGCACTCCAAGCAAACTCCCTGTGTTCATTGTAATGCATTCCCCATCCAAGAGCTGTTGCTGTGTGTAAGAACACGTGCCAGCTGGGCTCAAGCTCAGAAATGCCTGCTGCAGGGCACTGCACAGTCTCGTGCCTCTGCTTCCTGCTGCCTCCTGTGATCATGGGAGGGAACAAGAAGACCTCCAGGGTCCTGATCCTATGACCGGTCAATGTAGATTCATTTATTCATTGTTTTCCTTGGGGGAGGGGTGGGGAGCCTTACTTTTTTCCAAAGCCCTCAGGATTTTAATCACTAAGAGGACCATGAAGTCACGGTCCCTCCAGTATAAAGACAGGGGAGATGGGAACTGGAAGGGTCTCCCTGCATCACAGCTGCAGTCCAGGGAGGCACATGGTGAGGCTTGCTGGCACTATGGTCTGATTTGCTCTAACTATAGTAGGAATCTGAACTCCTGGACCCTGCGTACACACGCTCCTTGGGGCTTAGGAAAAGGCAGCATTTTGGGGATTTCATTGTGAAGCAAAACTGTCTGACAAAATGAAATGGAGTTAATTTAGGTTCTTTTATTCCTGAGCTACAGGCACTTAAAAGGGGCCTGCTCTGTCGTTCCCCAAGTGCAGTCTTGGACTTGGTGGAGATGGCCTGTCTGGCAGTCAGGGTGACCAGCGACCCTATCTGTTTTGAGAAAATCTGCAAGTCCCCATTCCTACTCCTAGCAGCAGTGAGCTAGGGGATCACTCAGATCCTGTACTGGTGTTGTCTGAGTGTCATGAGGGAAGTACACAGCCCAGGGAGAGCAGCGGTCCGTGGCACTTGTCAGGATAGTACACGCTGGACAGTTAACACTGAAGAAGGGGGTCCTTTGGTCACGCAGTGTCTGCATGAATCAGGGTACAGGGGTAGGATTCTCAGTGACCCCCACCCCAGAGCCCGCCTGAATACCAAGGGCACCCACCAGGCACAGTAGTGGTCCCTAGGGTCATCCTGTGTGTGTTTCCAGGCAGGCACAGCTCAGCAAGGGTGTCCCCTCTGGAAGGCGAGTGGCTGTTTGGCTGCTCTTCTGGTTGGAGGTGGCACCAGGAAACCCCTGAGTCCTCCTCGTCCAGGACCTCAGCCTCCTGGGAGGTGACATCCTCTGCGTGGGGCTCACCTGAGAGGGACTGAGCACACAAGGCCATCAACCTTAGTGACTCTGAGGAACTGGCTCTTTCTAGCCCAAGCCTGAGGGTCTCCCCAGGTATCGTTTGGCTGACTGAATACTAGACACCCTGTGGCCAACTCAGTTGTCTTCATTTTTAGGAACTGTGCCCAAACATCTATTGCCTGTTCTGCAACACAGGTCTATGATGTTGGGCTCCTGATGACACCCTAGCCAGGCATCACACAGGGGACTGAAGTGTTTCTGACATGGCCCCTTGGGCTCACCCAGAGTCACAGCAGTGAGGACACAGGCTGGAGAGTTATTTATTGCTTACCTTACTATTCTGTCTACTTTAATAATCCTTGAAAGTCAGAACTGGGAAGGTGGGTAGGATTTGCTGAGCCTCTTGGCTGCAACCTGGACCTGCCTAGGCAGCGGGGTCTCTGCATTCCTCAAGGGAACCAGATGTGGCTTCCAGAAGCCACATGCCACAGCAGCCTTACAGCTGGGGTGGGAACAGGAAACAAGTGGTTCCCAAGCCTGGAGGTCACAAAAAGTGCAAACTCCAGTCTGATCTGAACCAGGAGCAGGACCTGTGGCCCAAGGGTCCTGCCCTGCTGTCTGCTGCTCCCACCTGGGCAGAAAACCAGCCATTTCTAGATGAGGGGATGTGGCCTGGTCACATGGCTAGTGACCACCAGGCCCGTTAACCTGGACAGCTGCAGGTGCTGGTGTCCTGTAGTAAATGCTAAGAGCAGCCCCTTTCACTTGAAGATCAGCCTAGTTTGGGCTATAAAGTGTACAATGCCCTACAGTGAGACAGATTCAGCACAATGCCAGGCCCTGGGTGGCTCCACCGTAGACACTGTTCTGCCCCCCAAGTCACAGAGCTTCGGCCTTATTTCTGGGCCAAGTGTGGATGCTATACCCTGGGCTCCTGACTCACATACCCAGACTCAGGCTCCTGCTTTGCCCAGCTCCCCAGAAGCTGCCTGTGCAGTCTCCAGAGAGCCTAGCCCTGGGAGAGGGCGAGGATTCTGGGTTTGTATTCTCACTTCCTGCCCCCCAACTACTCCCTGCCCTGAGAGACTAGTATGTCCATGTGGTCATCCTGCCCTGCTTCCCAGACTGCCACCCCAACCTGGGGCCCAACCTTCTGTTGCTCAGGTTCCTGTTGCTCAGGTTCCTGCGAGGGAGCCAGACACAAGAGCCCACTGACCTGCAGGCTGTGTGCTGCTGCAGGGACTGAGGACAGGCTCAGGGGAGGAGAACAAGGCTGTGTGGAGTGGTCTGAGTCCTCCTCGAAGTCCAAGTCATGGAAGGAGAGAAGGCGCTTTTTCTTCACAGGTATGAGATGAGCAAGACTTGAGTCAGGGTCAACTTGATCCGGGACAACCAGCATCTCCCTGAAGCCCCAGCCCCACCCAGCCCCCTCCTCTTAGGGCATCCACCTCCTACCCTGGAAACAAACCCAAAGAGCCTCAACGTGGTCGGGGGAGGGGGGGGCAGGTGTTGGCAGAGTTCACCTTATCGGGAAACCTTTGTCCCCTGATCCCTGAGGGACAATGGCAGGAGGTCTCTGGGTGCTGCTTTGGTAGGGGGCTGACTGAGGGAGGACTTACTTTGCTGCACAAGGCCTGGAACTCTGCATCTGCCTCTGTGTTCCATTCTCCATCCTGGTCTGTGTGCTCACTGTCTCCACTTCTGTCTCCAAGGCTCAGTTCAGGTCCACCTGCAAAAGACAGCTGCATGAGTCCACCCAGGGACAGCCAGGCTGGCATGAGACCATTTTTCTGTCTACCTATTCATCCTTCCACTCACCCATCATCTACCCATCTCTCCCTCCAGCCCCTCCCTCCCTCCTTTCCTTCCATCCATCCATGCATCCATCTAACCCTCATCAATCCATGCATCTATCTGTCCATCCATTCATTCACCTTCTACCCATCCATCCACCTGTCCTTTCATCCATCCTCCCCCATCAATCCATTCATCCATCCCTTCATCCATTCACTGAGGAACATCCAGGCAAGGCCCTCTGCTGGCCTTTCAAAGACCTATCAAAGCATCTGTCAGAACTGGTCGAAATGACAACATAAAACAAGTCCTCTTCATCTCAGCCCCTTTCCCCAGATCCTTCCTCTGTCCTCCAGTTCCTCTTCCTTACCTTGAGCACCTTGGCCTGGCCTTTCCAGAATGTCCATCCACCCCCATCTTCTCTTTTCTTCACACTTGCCTAGCCTATTTTCCATTTCCTTAGGTCACTGCAGACAGTGATCCAGTAAGCAAGTCCCGGGGTCTCAGAGGTGAAAGTCCTGGTGGATCATCTGCCTCTGTAGGCCTCAGCTGTCCTGGTGGAGCTCTAGGCCTCAGCTGTCCTGGTGGAGCTCAGGCCTCTGGGACCAGCCAGGTCTTGTTGGCCACAGGACCCCCCCTTGCCCTGTTTCCCTTTCATGGGTCTCTGCATCTCAGGGGACTTGGGTGTGAACAATCAGGACATTTTGGTACACTAGACGGTGCTCTGTCGGCTGCAAAAGGACCCGGGACCACTGGAGGGGTCTGTCCTGTCTGCAGCTGACACTGACCCCTCACATCCTGCTCTGTGATGGGTGCATCTCTGCCTTGCATGCTGCCCTCTGCAGGCTCTGCTTCAGCTGGTGCGAGTGGGAGAGCGAGGAAGAAGGGACTTGCTCCTTCCTGTGGCTTCTAGCCAAGGGCCCTTCACCCTGAAGCTGGTGCAGCCTCAGTGCTCTCAAACACAGGCAGCAGCTGGCAGTGTTCCCTCATTGAGGACTGGTTCCCCTCCAAGGTCTCCTTTCTGTTAACTCCAATCAGCCTCTGCCCTTTGCTCCCCAAGCCCTGGAGTGAGGGTGGAAGTGGGTTCCTGCAGTCTCCCTTTCCCTCTCAGTCAACGCCATTCTAGCCAATTCCTGGAGGTTCGTGTTTCCCCACTCTCCACACCCCCCTGTGGCCGGCTTGGCCCTCCACCATTTCAGGGCTTGGTCTCAGGCCCCGAGTGCCTTTGCAGGAAGCTCTTCCCCTGCAGCTTTCAGTTCCAGAGGCACCACTGCCAGCCTCCCTGGACGACTCTGAATGGGGACAGCAGAGTCACCACTTCATGCAAATGCACTGGACCCATCATTAGTGTGACAAGGAAACTCAGAGAAAGATCAATGCTGGGAAAAGAACCAAAGACAAGTAAAGCCTTTCCTGTTAGCTGGGGCCCTGAATCCAGCTATCTTTTTAGAAACTGTGGGTGACCTTTGTCCACAGCTGTGCTGACACGATATATTGTAACCTTGAACAGCTAACAGCCAAGTCTGCTTCTGCACTCCCTGCTTACTGCTGCTTTTCTCAGTATAAAAACCTCAACCACCCTGAGCGCGGGGCCTGCGCCATTTTGGAGATGTCTCGGTGCTGGCCAGCTAGCGTGATAAACCTTCCTTTCCTCCAACCACCTGGGTTTGAGTCTTATTCTCGCTGGCCAGTCATCCTGTCTGTAACGGTTTCTGCAACAGGTGTGTTTCCGTCTCCTGGGATGAAGCCCTGACGTGTGTCCATCCATCATCCATCCAGGAGTTCTGCACAGGCTCCTTGGCATTTTCACGACAGGGGGACATTCTAAGGTGAATGAATAGCCTCACTCTGACTGCTCTGGTTTCTCAAGCTGTGTCCTAACCCAACAGTGACCTGACACATGGGCCGAGGAAGTCTGTCTCATTGCCTGGTTTTCCATTTATAACAGAGAGAGAACAAATCAACCAGTTGAGAGCGCTGGATGTCTGAAAGAAGTCTGTAACGGATAGCTGAGGTCAGTGTGCAAATGTGCTTTCATTGCTTGTCCTGCATGAAGCTCTGTTCCTATGTAGAGAAGGTGCTGGGGGGACATGGGACCTGCTATGTGCCTTGTGGTTATGGGATTATGGGATATGGGCTAACTAGTAGGAGACAGGGCACAGCAGTCTGGCTTATTCTTTACTGAAATAACTTCTCTCAAATATTAAAACTGCCAAGTTTCAAAGGGGTTGTGACTGCCTGTGTCAGAACTCTGACAGCTGTTTTTATAAACTCAGCAGACAGATGTTGGATGGTGGACTCAGAAAGCAGGCCTGAAACTGCTCCTGTTCTCTGGACACCAACTAGACAGAAGCTCCCCGGAGCATCCAGGCAGAAGACCCTGAGCCAGGGACTCCACTTGCACCTTGGGGAGGCAGGTGGGTGAGTGGGCAGGGACTTGGGAGGCAGACAGTGCCTGTCAGTGAGGTGAGGAGCGAAGCCCTCAGGGCCTCTGGGATCCTTTTAGTTATGGCTCATGGTGTCTGTTTGTACTGGGGACAAGGGTTTGAGCCATGCAGTCCATGTATCCGATTAAGTCATGCTAAAAAAAATCCAAAGGATTTCCCATGTTCCTGACATGGAACAGGGGTTTCCTGACCTCACCTGATGGGAGAGAAAGGAAAAATAAAGCCACCTGAGCATAAGGGCCTGCTGTTGATGTGGGGTGAGCTCTGCTCTTAGTTAGGCAAATTTATATGCAAATAAAGGTTCTGAGCAGGTCCATAGGGCCTTCTCAGAGGGGATGGCCAGGCGCCTGGGGAAGGGCCAGTGTCCTTTTTGTCTGCATTGAGACTGCTCCTGTGCACAGCCTATGCTCTGTGTGGAAGGCCGCGAAATAGGCCTCCCTCTGAAGGCCAGGGAAGACCCCCAGCATCTGTCTACCAGCTGCACCAGGTCTGTAGCATGCTCTGGTCAGCTTAGGTTTCAAAAGAGTAACTCTAATCATTTTTTAGAAATTTCATAGCTTTTAAAAAGTATTAAAGTATACCCAATTTCATCCCCTTTTTCCTTGCACACTGTTGTAATGTATTTACAGGAGTATAGAAAGGGGGAACACAGACCTGGGGCAACCAAGATCCCTCTCGGCTGGGGCTGGGAGCAGCTGCTGGGAAGTGTGGCAAAGGCTACAGTGTTTTGGTTTCTGTTGTCCTGCAGTGCCCCATCCTGGCCTTCACAATGACAAATTTGAAATCCACAGGTCCTGACAGGAGGCAGTGTTAACCCCAGCAGTTCTGGATCCTGGCTGAGCTTCAGAGACCCTGGCACCTTTTAAGTGCAGTTTCCTGAGCCCACCCAGCCCCTAGAAACCAGTGTCTCCCCAGCGAGGTCCAGGCCTTCAGGAGTCCAGTGTGGCTGTGGGGGCTGTGTGAGATTGAGACTCTCAGTAGCTTTTCCCATGGTACATTTCCTTCCATCCCTAAGCCCCATGGAGGGGCTGGGCCAGGCTCTTTCTGCCGCAGGCTTTTTCTGCTCCTCAGCTCAACTGATGGGCTCCAGCCTGAGGCAGTGATGGTGGCCATGAGGAAGTGGCCCCCAAGAACAGGATGATGACCTCTCCTGTGTCATTGGGGCTCTCTTAGTTGCATCTGTTGCCATAGCATGGTTTCACTAGGGCATCCTTTAATCTTAAAACTGTCCTGGTTTGGATGGTTTATCATACAGCGCCCCTGTCCCCTCCACCACCCAAGAAGCCAAGCATTCCATCACCTGTGACTCCGGGTGCCAAAGCTGCTACAGGTGAGGGTGCCTCTCAGTAGTCTGTCCTAAATTAAATGATGAACTACAATGCCTTAGAGACACCTGTGTGGGGCCAGCCAATGTCCTGAGGGCTGGCTGTGCCCGGCCTCTGCTCCTTTCTATTATCTGAGCTGTAAGGGGCAGGCACAAATAAGGCGCCCCCCCAGAGGACAGCATTTGGGGCACACCAGGTGGGGACACAGTGGGGCACCCAGCTTAGAAGCCCCACATCTGCTCTGGATGTGGCAAAGTAATGGAGCCTGGCACTCCCCTACCCTCGCAAGGCTCAGGTCCCTGCACAGGGAGACATCCAGGATGCTGAGACCCCACTCACCTGGCCTGGTGGGCTGCCCTGGCTCTAATGCTTGGCCAGGCTTAACGGCAGAACCCTAGAAGTTGAGTAACAGGAACAAGGCTGGATCCTCCTGTAAACCCTGCTCAATTTCCCTTTGAATCTCAAACTCATGTCTCCTCCCCATCCATCTCCCCAAGGTCCTCTCTTTCTAAACGCCTGAAAGGAGGACAACAGGGTGAGCACATTGTTTAGTTCAAGTTCATCGTGAAAGACATACTTGGATCCAAAACATTGAAACAAACGATCAGATAACAAAGATTTCTCTAACTCTTGTTCTTCATCAGATCATGTGGGGTGTCCAGGCCCCCAAACTGGTCATCCAGGGAAGTGGGACCCGGAGAGGGTGCAGTATTAACGTCACCCTGGTGATTTTGTGAGCAGCCATGCTAGAGAAACTTGGCTATGAGTTCTCAGTTTGGTATAAAGCTCTGGAAAAAACACAATTTCGAAAAGTGGAGCTATTGGTAACAAGTAGGAATTCCCAGGAGGCCAGATGGGGCCAGCAGGTTCCGGGGGTTTGCAGCTCACACGGAAGGCAGCCAGTTTCATGTAGGACGCCAGAAACAAGAATGGACAGAAAAATCAACTCTCTCTCCCTCTCCTTCTCCCCCTGCCCTCTCATGCCCACAGCAGGTCCTCTTCTTACCCCCGTCCTGCCGCCGCCCGCAGAGGGACCGGATCACTTTGGCACTCCCAAACCTCTTGAATCGAGCTCTCACGTGCTCATAGTACCACTCCAGCGACCCGATCTTCACGACTCTGCAGGGACACGAGCACAGGCCTGTGGTGCTGCCCCTGGGCTGCACAGGTGTGTGCAAACAGTGGGCACGCTCGCCTATCCACCCTTCTCCAGCTAGCCCCATCAAAGGGACTCACCGGACCCAGAAACTATTGGTTAGGGGTCACTTGACCTTGAGGTCCTGGCTCACCTGGCCAGGTGGCAGGGGTTGCAGAGCCAGCCCTGTTCCTCGGGGTGGGGGTGACTGCAGCTCTTGCAGATGAAGAGGCTGCATTCCAGGCACTGCCGTCTGCGGTTCACGAGGAGCCGGTAGGGCTGCAGGCAGCGGGCACAGTGGGTCCCATTCAGGTGCTCTGTGTTGGAAAGCAGCTCCCTCTTGGAACTTTCCTTCTTAATCTTGCCCCTCAACTCCCTTGGAAAAATATGGACACAAGAAATAAACAGACATCTTGTTTTTGCAACAGGTTTCGTTGTATGAAGAAGACGGTGACCCAAAGTTGGTCAAAAGCCCCCACACCACCCTGGCCACCCTGTGTCACCACCGTGCCAACTCCACATCCCACTCTCCCCCTAGCAGGGAGACCAATAGGCTGGGCTCAATTTTGGTAGGTTTGAGCTGAAACCTATACTTTTCAAAGAAGTGACACTTCACTTAAGCATTTCTGTGGCTTTTACAACTGTGCCCCTGGTTGGGTGGCAGGGAGCTGAGCCCTCCACCACAGGGTCACAAAGTCCTGAGGGCAAAGCCAGGTGACATTTCCTCGGCAGATTGCCTTGGGTCTCTGCCAGCAGGGGCTGTGCCCAGGCCACGGGGCAGTTCCTGTGGAGCAGGGTTACATGCTTGGCTGGACAGGCTCCAGAGCAGGAATTACCGAGCACCCGGAAGTCCTGGGAAAACCACAGTTCTAGACTATCCGGTTTTAAATAACAGCTTCCTGGTCAAACTGCCAAGTCGAACTGACTGGTAAATGCATCCCCAGATGAAAGTGAATGCATTCCGTTTGTGTTGGGTTTTGGAGAATGTCTGCCAAATGTAATCTTTTCAGTTTTAGGTGAGATAAAATTAGCTCATTCTTAGTGACAACAATCGATGAGACACTGGGCGTCATTGTCTCCTGAGAACTCTGAGGCTCTCTGAGTTTTGATGGGGACACCCCACAAATGACAGGGGTGAAGAGGCTGAGACTGGTTTGAAGTGGCACTGGCTGAACTTGGCTCTTTCTCTCTCCAAATCATTCATGGAAACACAAGAGTTCCTCACAAACCCACAGTTTTGGTTACCCACGGTCAACACGAGAAAGAAGTACAATGCAGGAGACACCTTGAGGGGGAAGGGAGACTGCATTCACATAACGTTTATTACTACATATTGTTATAATTCACCTATTTTTAGTTATGTTGTCAATCTCTTCCTGTGCCTAGCTTACGAGTTAAACTTCACCATAGGTATAGTCTGTATCAAGGTTCGGTACTATCCACCATTTCAGACATCTCCTGAGGGTCTTAGAACATTCCCTCTGTGGGCAAAGTAGAACGACTGTACTCATGGAGACCCAAAACGTTGTTGTCATAGTTTTGAAACCAACAAGAATGTGTGCCAGCAGCTGTGGGGACCCGGAAGGAATACTGTCATCCACCTGCCTGCACCAGCAAGGCCGAGTGTCTGCTCAGACAGAACCATGTGACATCTGGAGCCAGGTGGGAAGGCCCGGCCACCTCCACGTCCACTCCTGCCAAATTGGTCTCTCCCAGAAACCAAAGGCTACCCGTTCCAGGCTGGCCTGTCCACCTCTCTCCCAGCCAGTCCCTCCATGCACGATCTACAGCAGATCCCCAGGCTTTGGCACAGGAGAAAGAGATTGGCAAAATGTGGGGCACATTGTGAAGTCCTCCTAAGAGCTCAGAGGAGTGCTGGGGACAGGGAAGTGGGGGCTGGACATTGATTTATTTCAAGTGCTGGATTTGGGCGTGGTTATACTCTGTTTCAGTTCTTTCACTGAAACCTCCTTCTTCCTAGAGGGAGAACAGGAAGGGAGGGTAGACGAGACCCCATGTTGAGAGGCTGGGAGACACCTGCCGGTCACTGGGCACATGGGCCAAGCTGGAGCTCCAGATGGACAGGGATGGTGGGGCCAGAGCCAGCCATGTGCTGTACTTGTCCAAACACTGGGTCGGCCAGATGTTGCTCACTGCTGGTGCATCAGCAGGCAGGAGTCCAGCATGTGGCCATGAGTTAAAGTCACCCCAGGAATAAAGGACCCCCTGGAATGCGATTTACTATGAGAAGCAAGAGACTTGAAGCTAGTGTGCACGCTGGGCCGAATGGGACTAAGAAGGTATAGTCTGAAGGGGAGAGGAGGTGGAGACGCAGGGAGAAACAGGCAGAGATGCGAGACCACGACCGTGCAATGACTGAACAAGGTGGGGAGGAGCCAATAAAAAGAAAGATGACCAGGAGTTCTCAGTGATGATGGAGGGGAATGAGCAGCAATTACACTGCAGAATATTAAATCCACAGATTTAGAACACTGGTTCTCAGAGTGTGGGCTGGAGGTTCCTAAGGTCCTTTAAGAAAGTTCATAAGGTCAAAGTCATTTTCATAAGAGAAGCATGAAGTCCTTAGCTCCCCTTCCTCTTTGATACATGCATCAGGGTGCAAAAGCACCTGCTAGAGCTTTGGTAGGGTGGAGGCAGTGGGACCAAACTACACTGGCAGTCACTGTCCCCTTCACTGTGAAGGAAAAGAAGAACAGATTTCACTTAGTACAGCCTGGTGAAGCAGTAAAAGTTACTAATCTTGAATCGGGTCCCCGAGTACACGCCTTTTTAGTATTTTGAGGGAAGAGTTCATAAGGCATTTCTGCTGAATATTGAAGTGTACACCATGGATGTTTCCATGAAACAATGGGGCAGTTGTTTGAATGGGCCCTGAGCTAGGAACTTTTATCATCAAACTCCATTTAACTTGAATAAATCGTTGAGTGATGAACAATTCTGATTCAGGTGTTTTTGGCAGGTATTTTCTCAAAAATGAGCAAAGTGAGGCCGGGTATGAAGATTCATACCTGTAATCCCAGCTACTTAGGAGGCAGAGGGCAGAGGCTCTCAGTTTGTGGCCAGCCCAGGGAAGGTTAGCAAGACACTATCTCAAAACCAAAACCAAAACACAAACACAGAAAGGGCTGGGCATGTGGTTCAAGTGATAGAGTGCTTGTCTAACATGTGTGAGGCTCAGTACCACAAAAACAAAACTAAAACCCAGAACCAAACACCCAAACAAAGCTGCCACCTCAAGTAAAAGAGCTACAGTATTTATTGCCACTAACAAAACTAACAGTTGCAGACACAAATTCGAATTTTGCTGACAGCTTCAGTTTCCTGCTCCCAGAGATTTGAGGAGATTCGTGGTGAAGTTATGGAATGTGTCAACATTTGAAAGTTGGTGCGCCATGTTCAGCTAGGACCATTCACACACAGACCAGGAGATAGTGTATGGTGTCCAGCTGTCATCACCCACATCACAGTAAGGGCCATGAGACCCTCTACCAAGGCCCAGCCACTGGTCTGGGACTCTTGAAGAAAAGACAGAGCCAGGAGCAGAGGCCAGGCAAGTGACAGAGTCTAGGAGATCAGAAGCTGTCACACTTCAGTTTTCTAACCAAGCACTGGGGACCTCCAAGTAGATCGGATAGGAGAGGAGGGGTGAGGAGGAGAGGATGGTGAGGTGGGGTGAAGTGTCAGGCCTACATGCCTGACACGTAACAACAGCTTGGCTAAGTGTCAATGATTTTTGACCACACCACAAAAGCAGTCATCATCCTACCAAAAAAAAACGAAACAGAAAATATTGCTGGGCCCTGGCATAGAAGGGGTCACTAAGCTGTAGGTGACACACATGTAGATTGACCTTGTGAGGAGGAGGAGAGAGCCCTGCCAGCAAGAGCAGACAGGGCAGCCCACCTACTCTGGGCAAAAGTCAGGCTCTGTGAGGCTGGGAGCCAGTGCTGTGGCTTTATTAGATTTCCATAAACATCCTGGCTGAAAACAACATGAATTTTTATCTTACAGTTCTGGAGGTCAGAAGTCCAGCACTGAGGGTTCACTGAGCTGAAATCAAGGTGTTGGAAGAGACATTGTGGGGAGACTCCATCCCTGTCTCTTCCACTTCTAGAGGGGACCTGCTTTCATTCCTTATCCTAAGGCCAGCGAGGTAGCCGAGTCTTCTAACAGGGGACCACTCTGATCTTCCTTCTTCTCTGCCTCCCTTTTCCTTGCACTTAAAAGGCCCTGGGGAGGGCACTGGGCCACCGGGAAGACCCAGGCTAACTTCCCCATGCCCAACTCACCTGCCAGCATACCATCTGCACCTCACTTCTCCCTTTTGCCATGAAGTGTGACACACTCCCAGGTTCTGGGCGTTAGGATGTCTGTCTGGTTCATGGGCATCTTTTGGTATTAGGGACATTGTTTTGCCTGCTCCACAGAGCAAGGAGGACCTATTTAGGCAGTGTGGCAAGAGAAGGAACAGGACTGTCAGACACCTGATGAAGGAGGACGAATCACAGAATATAAACCAAAGAGCTATGGAACCAGAGAGCTGGTGATAGGCAGTGGTATCAGGAATTACAGCAGGGGAGGGAGGGCAGGCTGACCTTGATGACCAAGACATGAAAAATGCCATGCAGAGGAAGTGAGCAGAGAGGGCTTCAGAGGCAGAGAGCACAGAGAATCTCACCAGGGATCTTAGCTCAATGTTTATCTCCAGGCTTTGCACAGGCAGCTGACTTCCTGTTTCAGCCCTTGTGCTCAGCCACCTGTCTGCAGTGCCAGTGACCAGCTCAGGCAACTTCAAATTTCTTCTGTTTATAAATGAGCCAATTTGTGCATGTCTCACACTGAGATCTTTAGGTTATCAGGAATCCCTGTCTGTTTGCAGAGAGGGAAATTCCACATCACCACCTATTTGCCTTTCTGGTAAGTTTAGCAGGCCTAGTATTTGATTTGTGGGCTGTGCCCTTTAAAACAGGGTGTTCTGTTTAGGCATACTTGGGTCCTTATCCGAGGGCATGAGTCACCAAGTCTGCAATGTGCCATCTTGCTACTCTTCCTGGGCTTTAGGACTACCCAATAATTTCTCCCATAATCACTGGGGACCAGCTGTCCCTAAACATGCAGGAGACATGTACTGAAAGGACTTTGAACACGAAATGGGTAAGTCTAACACAGGTGATGACACAGTGGCTCTGCAGTGTCAGGCTGGGGCTTTCTTCTTCTGTGCCCAGCACCAGGCCCTTCAAGTCCAGGATGGGGGTGTCCAAGGAGTTCTGGACTCTTCCAGAGAGGTAGGAGCTAACGAGCTGGGTGTTCCTTCCAGGAATGTTTACTTTGCACTACTTTGTGTTTGTATAGTAT